GTCTGGCAAGAGTACAAAAGAGCACCATCACAAATTATGGTGATAATAATAATGTACATAATTTTATCATTATCCTGCTAAATTTGTAAAATTAAAATAAATTTGTCATACTTTGAATCGAAGATCTGTTCATTCTGACTTTATTTCTTAACCTTCAAAGTTTGTATAATTGATTGTACCAGCTTTGAACTTGAAATAGTCCATTAAATGTTTCAGGAATTTCAATATTAAAATACCAAAAAAATTAGCTACGAATAGTATTGAGTCTTGACTAACTACATGTCCCCATGTTTTACGAATCGGTTGTCTCTGAGTTCTGCATGACTAAGGAAACATTAGAAAAAAAACGCTATGTCCGAGGATTGAATCAGGGTCACCAATGGAACCAGAGGACACCCAGATTACAAAACAGATGCTCTCCTTATTGAGCTAAGTGGGCAAAATCGTTACTGGTTTGTTCTAGTGATAAAAATTAATATTAATAGCATATACGATTAAGCTTAAATCACTAGAAAAATGTTTAGTCATATCAACATGCATTTTTTGGCTGTTCTATTAACATCCACCCAGTTGGATGCATAAATTTAGGAAAATTTTTAACTTAAATTCGCTCTTAACAAGTTATGGAAAGTTTAAAATTCAAGGCAAGACAAATCCATCCATATACAAATCTGGCACTTTTTAGGTTATAAAAAAAGATTTTTAATTAATAAATGTACGACAAACTTTATATTGGATAATAAAGTTTTTGAAAGTTGAAACATGGTAACGAAATATGAATTAAACCCTGTCTTCCTAACATGTAATTTATTCCATACATGTATGTTACAATGTATTAAGAAAAACTTGGAAGAATCTACATTCTTTTTCTTCCCTGTTGAAAGATGATGCACTTTACATCAACATTTTATTATTATTTTATCTATATTTCTATTATTTTTTCAACCGTTCTGCACCAGAACACAACTTAACAGCTTTCTTTAACTATCTTAAATCTTCATACATTATTCAACAACTTAACAGCTTTTTTTTCTTTTCTTTTTAACCTTAATATATCATATAATAACTTTATAGCTGTTTTATCTTTTTTAAACCCTAACACACCAAACAACAACTTAAAAGCTACTTTTATCTTTTTTAAACCTTAATACAGCAGACAACAACTTAACAGCTATTTTTATCTTTTTTTTAAACCTTAATACATCAAACAACAACTTAATAGATTTTTTTCATTTTTTTTCTTTAAAACCTTAATACATTAGACAATAACTTAATAACTGTTTTTATTTTTTTAAACCTTAATATATATACATCAGACAACAACTTAACAAATATTTTATCATTTTTCAATCTTAATATGTTAGACAAAACTAAACTAAATAGCTGCTCTTTATTTTTCTAAACCTTAATAAACCAGACAACTTAACAGCTTTGTTTATCAATTTAAAACCTTATTACATTAGACAACAACTTAACAGATATTTTATCTTTTCTAAACACAACAACATAACAGCTTTTATTTATTATCTTATCTAGCCAACATTTAATCCATAGAAGACAAGAAATTAACAGCTTTTTACTTAATTAATATAATAGTAAATATCATCTACAGAAATAGAAAAATCTAAATGCAAAATATGTAAAATAAGTAGGATATATCATGGCTAAATAATCAATATGATATTAAATTTAGATTTATTGTTATACTGCGAAATCATGTAATAATTTAATTTCTTTGCAAGGACATTTAAGAATCAGCATTTGACGGTTCTGGACATTATTAAAAGGAAATAAATACATTTTTTATATATCTTATATAGCCTTTGCTAGGACAACATTTATATAACACCTATCTTAATGAAAGTATACAATTTTCAGACAATTGAACAGATCTTAATCTACACATACATGTACATGTATAGACAGTGTGCCCACATCATATGGTATATGACATCCATTTCACAAACTGTAAGAAAATATGATACAAGTAATAATTGCAAGTAAACAAATCAAATAGATAATTTCATATCCAAATAACAGCTAGGTACTCAGGTGTTCCTATCTTGTTGTCAAAATACATATTATTCTAAGTAAAATGGGTATACCAGTCTCCTCAGCAGCAAACAATTTACAATGATGTCACATAGGGTGAAAGTGATGTCACACAGGTTTAAGATGATGTCACACATGGTTAAAATGATGTCACATACAATGTGGTATGGTCACACTGGTACAGCAACTGGCAACACAATTAAACACAGTAAAAAATACAGTCAGTCTGACATAAACATAATGTGAAACCATGGAAAAGTCGTAATATTAAATGTATCAATGACCTTATATCTCTGACTTTCATAGCAATGCCATAAATAATACTGACATGTTTAAAGGTCTTAAAACCCTCAAGATGGATATGAAATACAGACAGCAATGTCTTGAAAATACTTCAGCTTAAACCAATGTACAATAATGGTAAAACATTGATATTTGCTTCCGTACTTTATAAAACAATGATAAAAGACTCAATGTGAAAAACAAACAAAAACTAAACAAAACAGCAAACTGAACAAAAGTGTGCAATAAGAAATCAATTAAGTACATGTAAATTGTTGTTTTTGTTGTATATTTAAATTTGAAAGTCTCATCTGAGTTTTAATAACTTTAAATTCTTAGTTCTTACTATATTTTCTCTTTTAAAGCTGCTTTAAGCAGCATGCCTCCAGATCCACACTAATTTTCATGAAAATCTTGAAATTGTATAAAAAATGTTTGAAAATTTCATATAAAGAAAGAAAGAAATTTTAACACATTGCAAACCACACTTTTAATCAATATAAATTACAAAATAAAATGTCAAAATATGCCAAAATAGCCCTTCAATCATTTTGTCATGCAAAAGAAATATGGTAATAAATATGGCAAGAGTTCATAGTCATTCATTGCATGTAACATGTCAATTATTACTTGAATTGTAAATCATTTTACTTTTCTTGAAATCTAATAGTACATTTTTGGTTTATTTTCTTGAAATGTTTGGCTCATCTGTGGGCATGCGCCTTTAAGCTTAGGTCTAATGTTGAAGGTATATAATATTTGAATCTAGGCTCAAAATTAATGAGTTTAAGCCCAGTTGTGTGAAACTGTGTTCCTTCACAAAATATTAGAACCATTAACTTTAGAAAACTGACTGGATTACTGTCTGAATATGTAAGTGTCATAATGTCAATAATGAATTGTCTATGCCACCATTATAATTTAGTTGCTTGTTTTTTGTTGGACAAAGTCTATTACAAAATTTTACCAGAAATTAGTTCATTACTAGTAAAGAAAAATACTGAATTTCAACTACATTTGTAAAAGACAATAAATTAATGATTTAAGATCAAATGAAATAATGCAAAATATGTAGAAAACCAATTCAAAATAATGTCACAGTTATTCCTACAATACAAATGTATAAAAGACTTAATTAAAACTCTTAGATTAACTTCCTCTTAAAATAATTACCAAAATATAACATATGACTAGATCATACAATAATAATATTCATATTTAAATCTCATGTACTTCAAAACCTATTGTGCTACAAATTAAAAATAACCATACATGTATTTAACATTTATATTATTATAATACATGTAGTATAAATTCAGTTTTCAGAGTAAATCAAGCATATCAATAATACTGACAAATGCTCCATGATGTAACTGCCTTAGCATAAAGTTTGCCTGATGATAAAAAAGAAGAAAATCTATTTTTAGCCTTAGTGACCTTTACAATGACCCCATCAAGCAAAAACCCAAACCAATAGTAGAAGTATATGAAGTTACCAACATTACAAATATCTAAGATACTGGTCAATACATAAAGGTGTGTGAATCAGTTTGTTTGACATGACAAGTGAGGACAATCCGATAACTCTATACTTCAAAGAGAGGACAAACTGGTAACTTACTCTGAAGAGAGGATAAACTGATAACTCTATACTCCAAAGAGAGGATAAACTGGTAACTCTATACTCCAAAGAGAGGATAAACTGGTAACTCTATACTCCAAAGAGAGGATAAACTGATAACTCTATACTCCAAAGAGAGGATAAACTGGTAACTCTATACTCCAAAGAGAGGATAAACTGGTAACTTACTCCAAAGAGAGGATAAACTGATAACTCTATACTCCAAGGAGAGGATAAACAGGTAACTGACTGATAACTATACTTCAAAGAGAGGATAACTGGTAACTCCAAAGAGAGGATAAACTGATAACTCTATACTCCAAAGAGAGGACAACTGGTAACTGTATGCTCCAAAGAGAGGATAAACTGATAACTCTATACTTCAAAGAGAGGACAATCTGGTAACTCTATAACTCCAAAGAGAGGACAAACTGGTAACTTACTCCAAAGAGAGGATAAACTGATAACTCTATACTCCGAGGATAGGCTTAACTGATAACTGTATACTTCAAAGAAAGGATAAACTGGTAACTCTATACTCCAAGGACAAGATAAACTGATAACTCTATACTTCAAAGAGAGGATAAACTGGTAACTTATTCCAATGAGAGGATAAACTGATAACTCTATACTCCAAAGAGAGGACAACTGGTAACTGTATGCTCCAAAGAGAGGATAAACTGGTAACTGTATGCTCCAAAGAGAGGATAAACTGATAACTGTGTGCTCCAAAGAGAGGATAAACTGATAACTCTATAATCCAAAGAGAAGACAAACGGGTAACTCTATACTCCTAAGAGCCGCAAAAAGGAAACTACATGTATATACTCCAAAAAGAAGACAAACTGGTAACTATTATTATGCTCCATCAAACAAATTTCTGAGAGCATACAATGAACAATATTAACCCTTACCAAACTAACTATCTTAAATGGAATTGTCCATCTTAGAATCTGGACAAAACCGTTCATCTTTCTGTTTTTCAAATTTTCAAAATATGTCCTGACTGAATATAGAATAGAATATAGAATAGTGCAGACCATGATCAGATGGCACAGATAAACTGGATGATCTTGATCTGCACGGACTGGTAACAGTGTAGAATCACATGCATCCAGCAGGCTAAGGTTTCAAGTTGGTTAACACACATGAGACAAAGTTTAACATGATAAGTTTCTGAAAATAAGATAATTATCTGATTATCTATTAAACAGATTGGTTTAATATACCTTTAAACTTGATTCAATTCTTTATCACATTTAATATATTTTCAATGCCCTTTGTATTGAATTTTTTTTAAAAAAAATCAGCAAAAAGCTACAAAAAAGTGATGAAATATTTATACACTTGCGGAAACTACATAGAATGATGATTGTGATAGCAGCAGGTAAAAATGATATTTACATGCGCATCAGCTTCTAATGTGCATAAATCTATAAATGAGCCGTGTCATGACAAAACCAACATAATTGGTTTGTGACCAGCATGGATCCAGACCAGCCTGCGCATCCGCGCAGTCTGATCAGGATCCATGCTGTTCGCTTACAAAATCTATAATACGAAGAGAAACTGATAGCGAACAGCATGGATACTGATCAGACTGCGCGGATGCGCAGGCTGGTCTAAATCCATGCGGGTCGCAAACCCATTATGTTGGTTTTATCGTGACACGGATCAAATAATGTCTTCTATAACAAATGTCAAGTATAAATTATATTCTACATGTACATGATGTAAACAAGAGTTAACATAGACGGCCTGTTCAACTTTTCAACGGATAGCATGCAGGAATCAAGCGTGAAACTACTTTTTCCATGACAGGAGAAAATATCTTTGCTTACATGTCTCTAATAATGGACTTGCCAATAACATTCAAGTTCTAAAAAGTTTTAAAGCTAAAACAAGGAGCATATAAACTGTGCCAAATTGAATGTTTGCACTTTTGAAATTTGTCTCATTCTGAGGGCTGTTCAAAAATATTTTATTGGTGTTTGATGAAACATTAAACACGTATAAGTCTGTTTCCTGGGATTACCAAAAAGTTAAACTAGTATAAATGAGGAAACATTATCCTGACCAATGTGGCACACCTCCAGATCAGTAAAATAAGTTACTGAAAAATCTATTTCAGAAAAATAATTTTGACTTCAGAAATGTTTAAATATTCACATTAGTGGTGTACTATATGAAATATGACAGAATTTAATGTCTTTTAACACCACAATTTCTCTATTTAGTAAAAAGAAATGTGTGAGCATTTTGAAAACTAATACAACAGCTACAAGTAACTTGTGTACTTTTAAGATATTTAAGCAGATAAAATAAATTAATCTGTAAACTCGGTAAACTTGACAACATTTTCAATTTTCATTCATTGATAAAATTTTTGAGATTTCAAAAAAAAACTTTTAAGACCAATCTGGAGTAATATGTAGTGTGCTGATTTAAACTCATGTTTCCTTAGTTGAAAGGCCAACACTTTAATCTCAAAGCAAAATTTTGACAGAGATTTCCAAGCATGGTGTGCAGAACTATAAGTTATAACTTGTCTGTGAGAAACATAAAACTAAACATAATGTGATAGAAATAAAAGGGTCACAACTGTTAATTAAAGCACAAATTAATGTAATTATTTATGTACCCTTGTAGACTTGACAAAGAATAAATATATATTCCATGCCTGAAGTGAATGTTTTAGAAAAGCACCTTAACTGCAAGTTACAACTTAAATGAAATTTATACTTTTTTAAATAAAAATACTTTATGTTTGTAAAGTGGGGAAGGAGGGACTAAACCCCACTTACCAAAAATATACTTTAAAATAATTAACAATAAAATACACAAGAATGGAAACCCCTAGTTTAAAGCAGGGGTTTTTTCTTTTTCCCAAGTCTTTGTTTCGGGATCAAAGCATCAAAAAATCAGGGCATGAGGCCCGTTTATCCCCCCCTCAAAGGGTCAGTCACCCCCTAATCACAAATCTTGTCTTTTAAGGAGGGTGGCACCATTTTTTAGGGGCAAATTCCCTATCCCGGGGTTTTTTGGAAAATGAGTTTCTCAGGATCAAGTTGATCTTTTTTTGAATTTTCCCCCAATGAAAAAATCCTTTAAGGGCCCACTATTGAGAAAAAACCTTAAATTTCCTTGGGAAAGAAAAAATTTAGGGAAAGGGGTTTCAGTTTATGCCCGCAGCCCCTTCATAGATTCCTTTTTTTGCCTTTAGCCCCCCCTTAAACCCCCCTCCCTTCCCACCAGTTTCCAAAATGGGAAAATTTTAAAAGAAAATTTCCCCGCGGGAAAGAAAAATTTCCCTATTTTGACCCCCTTTGGGGAGGGGTAAACCCACTCAAAAACAGCCCTATCAAAAAATTTTTCAAATTTAGCGTAATGCACTCCCCCAAAAAAATTTAATCTATCGTAAAGCACGTGGGGCAGTTTCGCTTTCTGACTCTTATTTATTGTTTCCCCGCCCACCAAAGTATCAAACTTCCACACGCTGTCAATAATTGTATTATCAAGAATTCCTCCGGCCACAATTATACAATTGACTACAGCAGAAATACTGAACCATGTGACAGGTTTCGGAAAGTCTGGCAAGGACGACCAGGCATCTTTCTGGGGATCAAACATTTCAACGCTTCTTGTTACGAATCCATTCAAACCGCCCACTGCCACTATTACCTCTTTAGCAATAGTGGATGGCCTTGGATGGAACATCGTATCTTGCATGCTTCTCCTTCTTCTACCATACTGATCATGAATTGTTTCATGTTTAATTTGTGCTTGTCTGACTAGATCCATACAAGTATCACAATTTTGTAAAAGAGGTTCATTCTCCATGCTTCGTAAATTATTAATATTGATCACAGGCAATCTGACTTCTTGAAGTAACTGGAGAACACTTTTTTTCCTATCTTCAACATCATACTTTATCCATCGCATGACAGCATTATACACGGTCTCTTCATTTCGTACCTCGATATGATCACTCGATACAAACCACAGCAATTTTTCTAACGGCAGTTCTAAAAACTCGTCATACTGAACTAACGAGGAGAAATTTTCAAGCGCATACTTTGTAGTACTGTCCTCTAACTCCTTACAGGAATGGATCTGAGAAAATAACTGAATTCCTAAACAGTTTGAGGGATGTAACTGTCGCTTTAAGAAAGTACAGCAAGCATCGACAATGGCAGGATAATGGAATCTACAACCAGCAGTGAGCATTTCTTGAGCATTATCTGTTGAGATCTCTAAACGACCAGTGTACACGTAGTCAATAATACGCTTAAATGTCCAGGGAGAAATATCAGCGAAGGGAACACGTATATCACGCGTTTCTCTTAAATCATTAGTAAACATCGCATGGAAATAAGGACTACTTGCTGATAAGAGATTTTTATGGCAAGGGAACTCCTCCTGACCGAGACACAAGATCGTGTCAGTGAAGAGTTTCTTGGCTCTCATTTCATTAAGCTGTTTCAGAATTCCCATTCCATATCCAACATCCATCAACACGTGCTTGTCATCCACAAGACTTCCTGCTCCAACCTCAGCCATTCTGTCACGTTACTCAAACTTCTTCCTGTCTAATGGCTACTTCTCTATTTGTAAATTCTCTTCAGATGTAAAAACACTGAAAATAGAAGGAACAAAAATTATTCAAGCGTCAAATAAACTACATTTTTTGTACTTGCAAAACTCATATGTATTTACTTTACAGCCAATACGAAGTTAAACATACTATTTCAGACTACTATACATGCATGTGACATGAAGTTTAATTATTGTAATTAGAATGAAGACAGTGCTTGAGAATTTATTCTTTAATCTTCATCATAACAACAGAATCTAAATAAGTGTCAACAATTTCAAAATTCTTTTTACTAACATTCTATTTCATATCTATCTGCATGCCACTCATTTATTTTCCAATGGCTAAATGTTAGAAAGTACACATTTTTTTTTTGCTGTCTGATATTCATGAAATAGACATAAACTGTGATGAAGAGCTGGAACAAGTACTTCAGTGCCTTGGGATCACATCCAGTAATACCTATAACAGGGTAATAAATCATTATCTTCACATGGACAGGGTTTTCATTATTAACCGATTGGCGATTCAAACCATAGGTTAAAATGCTTTTAAAATTGGTTGTATTTTTAGCCTGTATTTCAGAGTATCACCCTTGACCCTTGGCAAAATTGGTTTTTTTCTTTCGAGCATCTGTTGCGTCGGATAAAAATGAAAACCCTGCGTAGGACATCAGAAATTAAGCAGTAATTTTGAGTAAAGCTATATAGAATTGAATCTATTAAAAGTATTTTGATCTTAAAGTCTTTATTTAAAATCAAAGGTAAAAAAAATCAGATCATTCATATGAAACTGATATCAGTGTTGCATCTAGAATTTTAAAATTATGGATTGTTGCCCACCAAACTGAAAAATGTGGGGGATCTTTTTCAAATGTTGACTGACTTACCGGAAAGAATTCATTTATTTTAGATTTTAGGTATTTTTGACAGAAATCGTCAACAACAGAAATAGAAAAAAATAAAATATTGATGTATACTAGTAAAGTGCTCCGATCAAACTGTCAATATACACCCGAGATGACCCGGTCGGCTGCTACATGCATTTCAGTCTGTATTTTAGTCATTACCGCAAGTGAAAAAGTAACATGGCAGAAGCATTACAAGATACAATGGAGATTAACTGAAAGCTGAATTAAGTTGAAAAGATCATCTGATCAGATGCACAACTTGGCTTGCACCGACTTCATATGCATAAAAAAATATGGTGAATCACACAGCCTAGATGCAACTGAAACTGCGACTATCACTGAAACTGGCCAATGAAAAAGCAGAGAATACTGTGAAATCGACCAATACAAATATCTGAACAACAACTAATCCCGTACATTTGTCTAATGAGAATCAATCAAGGTTTGCCAAGTTATCTTGTCTTGCAAAAATATTTTGACTTGGTTAAAAATGCAACATGTTTTTTTTTTCTCTCTCACTGATGACACTGTATTAAACAAATTACAAAAGTGGTGTCTGTACAAAACCTTTTACCCTTATATCAGATAATAGGGCAACTTGTTAACATTCGAGTTTTCTGGTGTCTTGCGGATTACACTGTCAATCGGGAAAGATGCCCTACCGGGTACCCAATGATAAATTTTGCTTAATTTCTAAGTAGTTTTTTCAATTGCCTTCCTGTACAACGACTATATGTAAATGAAAACATATGGCATGCGCATAAATTTTTCATTATCTGTGAAAATTGCATAATTATATTTCTTTACATATGCTTACATTAAACTAACTGCGACAAAATCATTACAACGATGGATGTCACGGTTTTTCAGTCGCCATTACTTGCCTACATGTACACAATTAATGACGTCATTATAATCTTGCATATCGATTGGATAAAACCGTTGTTACTAGAGGTCGGTCAAATACCTCTAAATTTAGGAATGTGTTCTTCCCTGCCCATTTTCCACCAATTTTGAAATATATGGACTACTTAAATTCTTTATTTTCATTTTTATTACAAAGGAATGTAGTTATTATTATTATTATTATTATTATTATTATTATTATTATTATTATTATTATTATTATTATTACTATTATTATTATTACTGGGCCAGCTACAGAGACTTTTCATTATTACTTTTAAATATAGCTGACCAAAATATACAGTGACCGGTTATTTTTTTGTCCCATCTCCCAGTTATGAGTCCCAGGTAAAGGGTACAATATACATTTAGTTTCTTCAAATCAACGAAGATCTCTCTCTTATTTCTCGACTTCATAAATGATCTACCCAACTATGTATCACCTGAATACACAACTAGAATGTTTGCTGACGACTGTGCCATATACCGCTCTATCCATTCAGACTAGTATGCTAAAGCCCTACAGCAGGACCTAGATAGACTACAAAGATGGGAAAAGGAATGGTTGATGGAAACCCACCCTCAAAAATGCAAGATACTCCACATAAAAAACAAGAGAAAAACCAATCAGACAATCATATAACATTTATGGACACATCTTAGAAGAAGTAAATACAGAAAAATATTAAGGCCTCAACTTCCAAAAGTCACTAAACTGGAATCATCACATTGACCTCATTACAAAGAAAGCCAACAATGCCACATCCTTTCTACAGAGAAACATCCATAAATGCCAAAGAAGGACCAAAGAGCTCTGCTATATGACCCTCGTGAGACCTCTGGTGGAATACTCCTCTATCATCTGGGACCCATTCACTTAGGCAAATATCTGGAAACTGGAGATGGTGCAGCGCCCAGCGGCAAGAATGGTCTTCTCAGACTATAGAAGAACCAGCAGTGGGACGCCGATGCTGCAACACTTACAGTGGCCTACCCGCCGAGAACGCAGAACCCATGCTAATTAAGGTGACCATGATGTACCGCATAGTCAACGGCCTATTTGAAGTCCCCACATCCAACCTCACCCACAATCATTTCTGCTCGAGGACATGGACTTCACTACCTGGTACCATTTGCAAGAACCCAGTGCTACCAGCGATCTTACTACCCAGACACCATCCGCCTCTGAAACAGTCTTCCTCAGACAGTTGTAAGCTGTACAACAATAGACAGCTTCTAGAGGGAAGTACTACCACCCACTCTCCGATAGACTGTCAGGTGTTTTTTTTAAACATTTTACCAGCACTATACATAGAACCTTTTAAATCACTTTTGTACATATATAGATACTTCTCACACCGTGCTGCGCTAGTACGAGTATACGTCGGAAGGTTTCTGTACTATATTGGAAGAAGAAGAAGAAGAAGAAGAAGAAGAAGCCCATGACATATTTCTTAACAAAGATTATCTAAATAATTATTGTTGATAACAAGCGTAACAAGAATATTTTTGAAAAACCTATGTAAAATGTTTTTAATTGATATGTTTATCAGTCAAAAAGAATTTCTTACATGCACTTGTTACTATAAACAGTTTCAAAATTGCCTATGATTTCAACTGATAATGAGTGTTACGTTTGCTGCCCAGTGCCCAGCTATAATCATAATCGGGGCATTCAACAGCAAGCTGTAAAATGGATGTAGGTTTCAATCACGGATCGCTCGATCTTATGTTATTGTACAAACACAGTTTTTTTTTTTGAAATTTTAAGAAAAAAAATACGACAATTTTATTTCTAGTGGACTTTGAAACCACGTAAGGGGAGCCTCTTCGTATTAGTTACTTTACCTACAGTACAAAGACAGGAATTTCAACGACAGAAAGTTATCAAAGTAATTAAAGAAAAGTGTTACTATTACATCTAATAGGTATATAAATACGTATACATTTATATTAAAAGTCATAGACATTTTTCATGTATCTAATCATATCAACACCTTCCTTGTGAGAGATTATGGTGATAAATTGATTAAAGATATATTCTAACATGAAAAATATAACCCCCAAATAAAGGAAAACAACTAAGTTAGATATAAGATTTTTGTCAAATTAAGAAAATGTGACTTAAGTGTTGAGAATTAAGTACCCCACAAGCTGGTGCTAGGGGACATGAGGAATGTAGCACTTTTTCATTATCCCTCATGTACAGACTCATTCAAACCGAGTCTGCAATTTCCATGTTATTTTGCTGTTTTTTAAAGCTTCCGATGGATCACCTTTTTTCCAGATATTTATACATCACAACATCAGGTGGCAAGTGTTGTGTGACTTCTGTAAAAGGTTGTCCCGTTCGTACTTCACTTTGAACAGTGTAGTTATATTTTTCTGGTCCAGCGGGATCATTTAGTCCAGCATTTTTAAGTGTTGAAAATTGAGTACCGCTCAAGCCGGTGCTAGTGGGCGTGGGGATGTTTCAACTTTTCATTATCACTCATATACAGACTTAAACAAACCGAGTCTGCAATTTTCATGTAATTTTGCTTTTTGTGCCTGGAGGATCAGATTTTTTTCAGCTATTTTTACATTTTAGACACAGGACTTGAAGTAACGAATAAATGAAGAATATATTATTAATATATATCTCCAATAAAAATATCAAAATGATTTAAATTCCTGTTTCCTGATTGTTGAATCTGACCCTACTGTATATCTCATTTCGTAAAATATTGCGCGTTTCGATTATTGTCTTCCATTCGCATAATTGATTTTACCGCGGGAAAATTGATGCCACAAAAAGGTCGAAAAATGACATCCACAGTGCACGAAAAGAGAACGAACAAAGAAAATCAACCAACTTTCAAGAAAGATATGGTATAAATTAAAGGAGAAGAAAATTTACAAAAAATTACATTAACATGCTTAATATGTATATATAATTGATGTCGAAATATAAAGTGGGTGACATTTCACTATTGAGACGTTTCACTCCCGTCCCAAGACGGTTCACACCTAGACGTTTCACTCCCATTTTTGAAAAAAAATGTTTATAATTATTAAGGAAAGTTAACAAATATCTTTTTCATTTGATATTTAGGGGAAATTAAATTTTATGTTTTTTTTATTGATATTGAGGGTGAAGTTAATAAGAATTTATGAATGATTTTTAAAAAAAAAAATATTACGAAATGTTACAGAATGTGTTAATAATATAATCTAAACGTTATACTATCTGCTCAGAAAAGTGAATTTTGTTTTGTTTAAACTATGGAGCTAAATATAGATGGACAAGAAACTGTGACGTCACACAGTTAAATTCATAATTGGCGGAATTGTGTTCACGTAAGTTATCATATGTCGCTGGATTTTCCATGATTTGATGCATCCTGGGTAAAAGTAGACAAAATATCGCCATTTTGAATTCCGGAATACGAGAACAAAAAAGACAAAACATTTTCTACTTAAACAAGAAGCATTAGTTATTTATTGTGAAACGTACCATGTACACACTTTTCCACGCAAATATTTCTCCGATGAAAATCCATTACCGAAGCGCTCAAAGAATTGTGGGTCTTTATCTGACTATTGTCTCTTGTCAGAGATTTCTATCCATTGTATCTGTGGTTTAAACAGTGTTTTGAATTATTCATGTTATTAGGAGTGAATATATTGGTTTCAATGAGGACATATGATAAATTATTAGAAGATTACTCATTTAATTATGGGTTGAAATGAAAGACAAATTTCTAAAATTTTATTTCTAACGACATGAGAAAATTCTATGTATAATAGATTAAAAAATATAATAGAATAACATAAAAATTTAAATTTATTAAATATATTTAATTTATTATTTTTTGTAAGTCTAAAACTATGAAATGCAAAAAAAAATTGTTTATAAAATCAATTAATCTTTTAAATTATTTCTTTATCAATTTATTAAACAGTAGCAATTAAACAAACTTATATAATTGTGGTGTAAACAGTAATCTTGTCACCTAATTAGTTGTATAAACAATAGGACCATCAACTAACAGTTTGACATCACTATTAAATAAGTTGTATAAACACTGCATCAACAGTTTACTGATCAGTTGTTTATTGGACTATTATATGTTTTCAGACAACAGCCAAATGTAAAAAAGGTCTTGGGAACAAAAACTTCTCCAAAAGTTTTGTATTAGATATATAACAAAAGTAAAATAATATTTAATCAGATAATAAGAAATAAATGAATTATATTAGATGATCCTATCAAGCCAAAAAAATAAATAAGCTTTAACAATTACATTTGTATGATATACAAACTTAAAGTACTGAGACAAAGTGAAATCCTCTTTAAGTTTTTTAATTTATATTTATTAAATTTAAGGTATATTTTAGTATATCACAAGTATCAGAATAAATTTGGCATGAAAAAGAAGTCCAACATCTTGGTGTGAACTGTCTTGGTGTGAACCGTCCCAATAGTGAAACAGATGTCAGTTCGACCCTTAACCAACCCGGCCCATGGTCAAATCTGCACGGATCAATTCGGCCCACTATCAGGAAGCTATCGACATGTAGATTCTACCATTTGTCTATATTTTTGTTTACTATGCTATGTAATTATTAATGGAGATATATACTATCTTTATCAAATTTTCTTTCCTTTTCATGCTCAGTCATTAACAAAAACTCTCAAACAACATAGATTTGATATCAATTTAAAATAAAATAAAAACAACAATCTAATTTTGCCTATCCGCTATACTAGTTAAACAGAGCACTTTACAGATTGATTCCAAATTTTTGAACGGAAAGATGCATTTCTTTACACTTATTTTCTTTAATGGTATTTATTTTTTTACTTTTGTTCATGACTAGGTCAAAATTTATGTATTTATACGCTGACTTGAGTGTATTTTCGTCGGCAAGATTTTCTTGCGGAAGATTCAATGGCTTTTTGAGCAATTTATAAATGACATTGCTTTGCCCAGAAGCAAAAATATCTGAAAATGGTGTCATATTTATAGGACTACACCAAATGGGTGTAGATGAACTAAGAACACATCCCTTAATAATATTTTTTGCCCTGTACTTGAAACAATGTTTAGAATAACATAATCTATGACACATTGCAGCCAGCCTTAAACAACTTATCAAATTCCCAGATAATATGAGAAAGAACCTGATTTGTCCAGAGATTGAGTCAGTGCTTACAGTTACAAACTTGTAACAAAGAAAAAAAAATCTTGGTATTGCTTAAGGATATGATGTTTCTTTTGTTAAAGTGTTTCTTGTTTCTGTGTAAATAATGTATATTACATATAATCTGCTACATTTTTGGTAAAAATCTGTGAATAAAGTCTTTACAATTTATTGTTATAAATTTTTGAAATAGATATTCTTATTTATTTTTAGATGAAAACAGCTACAATGGAAAATGAAGAGAGGAGGACCTTGAAAACTTTACAGCTCTCATCTAATGGTACTTTAATTGGATCAGAGGTTAGACCAAACAATATTCAGTGATTTTTTTGAAGCAGTTTTGACGCCAAATTATGGCCTTATTAACAAAACTAAAAAAATATCTTATTTTCACTGTAAAAGGAATTTTCACAATATTGTCAAATTGTAGTTATTTACACATGATTTAAACTTATTCTACTTTAAATAGTTAAGTTTTACATGTACAAAATAGGACAAAATTCTTAAATAATGGCATACTAATTTTCATGATTTAAAGGGCCACAGAAAAAAAGCCACTGTATAATATTTATCTTTTAGTTATAAATTATGTTTATATATGTAGCAAGAAGATTCCTAATCTGTACAACATGTCTGTGATAGGGCAGTCTTTGATTCTGTACATTTCTACTAAGATACAAACTTTTCTCTGAGTCCTGGAAAAAGGGTAAAATATTGCAAACAATTGTTTGGTACAACAATAAAAATAAAGTAAAAGGGTTTTTGAAAGTGGTGGAAAACATGTCTGACATAGGTTCAGGGGGGACATGTCTGACATAGGTTCATATAAGCCTCAGGATTTTATTATGGAATAACATATTGTAAAAAGCTTATAAATTTATCTCTGTTTTGTTAGCTCGACTATTCGAAGAATATGAGAGCTATTGTAGTCGCCCCGGCGTCGGCGTCAGCGTCCGCGTCTGCGTTGGTTAAAGTTTTTTGTAAAGTCAAATATCTCAATTATTGCTTGAGATATTCAATTGAAACTTACAATACTTATTTATAGTAACAAGGTACATCAGATTGACAAGTTGGATAACTCTGCCTACAATATTGACAGAATTATGCCCCTTTTTAACTTAGAAATTTTGGTTAAAGTTTTTTGTAAAGTCAAATATCTCAATTATTGCTTGAGATATTCAATTGAAACTTACAATACTTATTTATAGTAACAAGGTACATCAGATTGACAAGTTGGATAACTCTGCCTACAATATTGACAGAATTATGCCCCTTTTTAACTTAGAAATTTTGGTTAAAGTTTTTTGTAAAGTCAAATATCTCAATTATTGCTTGAGATGTTCAATTGAAACTTACAATACTTATTTATAGTAACAAGGTACATCAGATTGACAAGTTGGATAACTCTGCCTACAATATTGACAGAATTATGCCCCTTTGTAACTTAAAAGTTTTGGTTAAAGTTTTTTTGTAAAATGAAATATCTCAATTATTGCTTGAGATATTCAATTGAAATTTAAAATACTTTTTTATAGTAACAATGTACATCAGTTTGCAAAATTGCATAACTCTGCCTGCAATATTTGCAGAATTATTTGCCCCTTTGAAACTTAGAAATTTTGGTTAAAGGTCTTCAAAGATATTTACTTGAAACTTTACACATGCACTTAGGGTCATAATTGGAGGGTCATAATTGTATGTACGCTCCCTTCGTCACTGACCAAGTTCCATAACTCTGTCTTGCATTAAGGCTGATTCATATCCCCTTTTCTACTTAGTCTCTTGGTTAATGTTTACATGCAAGTTTTACATATCTCAATAACTATTAAAGATATTAATTTAAAACTTCATATAAGCATTTAGGGTCACTGACAAAGATCCATAATTCTATCTTGCATTTAGGCTGATTTTTCTCCCCTTTTTCAACTTAGAAATTCATGGTAAAGTTTTGCTTGTAAGCTGTTATCTCAATAAGTACTGAAGGGTTTGTGCCTTTTTTGGGACAATTTATGCATTCATAATAATAAAGCAGTGATTTACTTGATAAAACATCTTAATCTTAATAACAAGCCTTTGTACCTTTTCTGTCAAATTTATGTATTCATAGGTAATTAGTATTATTATACTCAATAAAACACCCTTGTGACATTACCTTCCAAATAGTCAAGCCAATACTGTATAATTAGACTCTCTCTAAGGCCTATAACATGAATTTATAACAAAAAATTAGCCCTTTTGTGAACTTAAAAAATTAAACAATATAAAGGCTCTTTTACTATCAAGCACTTAGAATAGTCGAGCGTGCTGTCCTACAGACAGCTCTTGTTTGATAAATTATTACCAGCATCTGGTATGGTCAGCTGTTTACTATTAGTTCACTGGACTGACTCAAAACTTTGCTTGATTGGGCATCAGAAATTCAGATAATTTTAGGAAGCACAGTCCAAGCAATTTCCATAATTAAAAGGCATTGTAATAAAACTACAAAAGAAAAATAGCAGGAACAATGCTGTATGCATAGATCCATGACCTGTCTTATTCGTATTATGAGATTAGTGGATACAAAAAGAATTTAACCACAACATATGTTAACAAAAGAGCACATGTCAATGTTTGTGGTTAAATCTATTGTTAATGTTATTCAATAGGGAGCTATCAGTTCATTTGTGTCTATATAATTCACCACTGTAAGATTTTGTAATGATTTATTTGATAATTTCCTTAAACTAAGATAAAAGAGAAAGTTACTATTCTTGAATCATTTCGTTCCAGAAACATTCTGGTAAAAGCAGGATAGTAGCAAGCAAAAAGCCTCTGAAGATTTTTCAAGACAAACAAAGCATTGGTGTAAGTAAGTTAACGCGTGAAGTGGAGACTCAGACGTCGGTGTGCCAGCATGAGTCAGAAACCCAGACAGACGTCAGTGGAGCTACAGGTGTAACAACTGATACAGACTGCCACAATGACAGCGGTACTGCTGACTTGGATCAAGAGGCATATGACTTGATGGTCAAAGGTATTTTATATTCAATGTTGTCGTCAATTTTTCTGTCCAAAACTGAGTGACTGGGTAAATTTTTTAAGCCCCGGTCATATAATGGCTGGGGCATATAGTGTTACCCTGTTCCATCCTTCTGTCATTCTGTCATTATCAGTTTCCGTTCATTATCTTACTAACGGTTACACACATTCTACTCAAATTTGGCATAAAGATATGTCATGAGAAAATACAACGGCATTACACATTCAACTCAAACTTGATAAATGGATATGTCATGAGAAAATACAGGTCAAGTTTGAATTTGGTCATGGTTCGATGATTTTTGGCATTTTACTTTGAAAATAATATGAAATTTTCAGTTTCCGTTCATTATCTCCCCAAAGGTATTACACATTCAACTCAAACTTGACAAATGGATATGTCATGAGAAAATACAGGTCAAGTTCAAATTTGATCATGGTTTGATGTTTTTTGGCAGAGTTATGCCCCTTTTATTTTGAAAATATTATGAAATTTTCAGTTTCCGTTCATTATCTCCCCAACGGTAGTACACAATCAACACAAACTTGACATATGGATATGTCAAAGGAATGTGCAGGTCAAGTTTGAATTTGGTCATGGTGCCATGATTTTTGGCAGAGTTATGCCCTTTTCACTTTGAAAACAATATGAAATTTTCAGTTTCCGTACATTATCTCCCCAACAGTATTACACATTCAACTCAAATTTTACATATGGATACGTTAAAAGAATGCACAGGCCAAGTTCGAATTTGGTCATGGTTCAATGATTTTTGGCAGAGTAATGCCCCTTTCACTTTAAAAATAATATGTAATTTTCAGTTTCTGTTCATTATCTCCCCAACAGTGTTACATATTCAACTCAAATTTTACATACGGATATGTCAAAGGAATGCACAGGTCAAGTTTGAAATTTGGTAATGGTTCAATAATTTTTGGCAGAGTTATGCCCCTTTAACTTTGAAAAAAAGGAAATTTTCAGTTCACATTCATTATCTCCCCAACAGTTGTACATATTCAACAACAAATTAAAGATGTGGATATGGCATAAGAATTCAAATTTGGTCATGGTTTGATGCTAGCGGACAGAGTTATCCCTCTTGAACTTTGAAAAAAAAATCAGAAATTTTATGTTTCCGTTCATTATCTCCCCAATGGTTGTACAACGTAATTCAACTCAAATTTTACATATAGATACATTATAGGAATAAGCAGTTCAAGCTTGAATTTTGTTGTGGTACAATGGTTTTGGACAAAGTTATCTCTCTTGAATGTTGGGAAAAAATTGAAATTTTCAGTTTCAGCACTCATACTTTTGTGGAAATGCATGTAGTCATTATTTTGGCTATAAATATGCAATATGCAATTAACAAAATGTTAACACTGAATAGTTTCAGTGCCTTGAACTTTGTATAAAAATGGTTTGTGTTAACATTGAATAGTTTTAAGGGCTTTAAACTTAAAATGAAAAAAATAATTTGTGCAAACAAATTTGGAACTAAATATTATAACATCTGAAATTTTGGTTGCATGCAGGGGCATCCGTGGCATGATGACACATTTCTAGTTTTGAAAAGTTGTTACTGACAGGAAAGTTCAAACAGAGCTCATGATCAGGCAGCATTTGATGTGCTGGCTGATCTTGGTTAGCATTGGTCACATCAGGGATTGAAAATTCCACTTGTCATCTGGTATTTACTAGTAGGTAACGACAAGTGGGAGTTTGGGGGTGTAATAGGAAGCTAGAATTCTCATAATCAGTTTGTTTACTTTTAACAATGGAAAACTGGAAACAAAGTTTGTGTATAACTTGAGCATTACACATTGTTAATAAGATACATTGGCAAGGTACTATTGAGTCGGGGAAGTTTATTTTGAAAATCACGCCCAAAATGCAGGACGAGTAGCATACAACGCTAGAAGAGTAGAAGTTTGTAGCTACTCGTCCTTCAAAACAAGTGGCGTTGATTTTTTTTCAATCCCTGCACATGGGTAGAATCAGTTGAAGCTAGCAGGCTAAAGATTAATTAAAATTTTACATTTTGTAGACCCGATCCCAGAGAGTTACTGGCGCGAATTGGCAGAAGAGAGGAGATTGTCCCTGGCTGAAGCTCTGGCAGAAAATGAAATTGTATGTGCCTAATTTGTTTATATGTGTTTACTCTGAATTTGTTTTAGTTTGATCATGTAGAAAGCTATTGTGTACAGACAAGCTCTCAAATTCATTCCTGGAACCAACCAGCACTAAGCAAAAAGTGGGGTTTTTTTGCTGTAGGAGACTAGAGTTGACAGGGTTAAACTGACACAGCAACCCTTATATTGCAGTCTGATAAACACTTACCGCCACATTTAATTTGCTAATTAATTTGTTTATTATAATGCTGAATATTACTCAAACAGATCCTCATTAAGGTAAGTGATGTCTTGTACACATCCAGATGATCGTAGGCTATTATTGAGGGTTTTCTTCAACTAGGGTTGGATACCGATAACCGGTACTTAGACCGTACCGAAAACCGTTTCATAATTTACCGGTACATACCGTTTCAAAAAGTACCGGTATTTTTAACGGTATTTTCAAAATTAAAAGCAAAGAATATGTACAAAAAACAAAGGAAAATGAATAAAATTAACGATTATTTACGTCAATAATATCACAAAAAGAAATGGCCGTGTTCCGAAATGTCCATAGTGCAAGTCAACGGAGATCACTACTGAGTGCACATGGTAGCGGCGATATTCGTATTTACAAAAACCATTATAATAACATGCTGCATAAATTCAAATACTTGATACAGCATTTGTTGATCACTTTTTGATGTATTATTCGGTTTTTATTCCCAAAAATTATTGTTACTTGCTATTAAACATTTCTGCAATATTCATTAAAATATTCGAATTTTATACATGTCGTTGCTGATGTCAACAATATTATGGTGGGGTCTCGATCAAAGCGGTCTCCGGTCTGGGCACATTTCACTCCTAAAGAAGGAGGTGGTGTTTGCATTTATTGCCAAACGTTTTGCCTTGGGAAAAGGTGGAAATACCAGTAATTTAATAAAACACCTGAGACTGAAACACAATTTACAACTGAAACAATGTACTCTATTTGACTCGTTGAAGCCGAAGAGGCTCAAGGAATATAGAAAGCAATTTCACAAAGAAGCTTGAATATAATTTTTATTTCATTATAAAACAAATCAAAATAAAATACCTATAGCAATAATGAATACATAATGAATAGGGCTGCTCAAACATACACTTTCAAGTATCGAGTATCGGTATCGATAAAATACCGTATCGTTTCACGAGTATCGGTATCGTATCGTATCGTTTCGTTCTTAACGATATCCAACCCTATCTTCAACCAGTAAAGCTATAAGGTTGTCTGTCATATGACCTTAACAATGTTGGTGTGACATAAAGCCCAGCTGATAAAAAAAATAATATAAAAGCAGCAGATCAGCATGTGCAGGCAATATGTATTGCAAAAATGGTGTACACTTCAAATTCACATGTGAAAAAAGATTTTATGATACCAAATATTCACAAATTTCTGTACATTTATATCTATAGCTGCACCAGTCTATGGAAGAGTTGAAAGAGGAAAATCAGAATTTATCCCTACTGGCGGGTCAGGCAGAACATCTTGCCTCTGTTTTAAATGTAAGTTCATTCAATATCTAAATAGCAGGTAAAGTATTTAACTTATAACATCATTGATCGAATCAAATTATATGTTTCTGTTTGTGATGGTTACTCTGTTTTTTTTTACATGTTTGGTTTAAAGGTTTTTTTTTTACATGATGGGACTGAAAATATTTTTTCAAGATAAATGTATGATTTGATGTAGACTTAGACCACTAATCTTTTTGCAAAATTTCAGATCATTCGCGCACTTCGTTTTTCCAGGATAATAATTCAAATTGTAAAAAAATGATCTAAAATGAAAAGCGTTTAAACGCTTTTCACTCAAATCGGGCTAAGAAAAGCATAAAAATATGATTTTCAATTTATTTCAAAGTATATTTCTTTAATATCTTTGCATATATTTCTGTTTAAAGTGTCCCAATTCATTTATGTAAGAAATTCAAATGTTTTTAGGCTTTAAACCTCAGTGGAGTTCCTTTTAATATACACATCTTAATGTCTTTCTTTGAGGGACACTCTCTAAAAAGTGTCTACAAAGGTGTTGTTAATTGTTCTTGCAAAATTGTCATGTCTGTGTGGTTTTTGACTTCAAGCCACTTTCCCCTCATGCTGATGTTTTAATTTTGTGAGGGAATTTGGATTTTTTCATGTGAGGAAACTATACAGCTAGCTTAGAGAATATCTGTGGCTATGCTTGGGTGCCTGCAAATATCTGAAATAATTCATGGAGGGGCACCTAAGGTCTTCCTCTACCAGTAAAATTGAAAAGTTGCCATATGACCTTTACTGTGAAGGTTGGACTAAAAAAGAGAAGCAAAAGAGTACCATTGGAAAATATCTTCTCTTTTTTTTTCTTCACAAAATTTTTAAGACCAAAAGGTGGTTCTGTTGATCCTGCAATTTATTGTATTGAAAAGATTTGATTAATAATATACTTAATTGTATCTCAGGATGTTTTGGGTGATGATGGTGAAGATAAAGAGGAGACTGCTGATAGTGATAAAGAAGAAGCTGATGATGGAGAAGATGATGTCAAAAATGAATCAGACAACCAGGAAACAACTGAAGAGAGTGGAGAAAAAAAGGAAGAAAATAAAAGTAATGCAACTTTATCAGTATTCTAGTTTTAAATTTAAAATAGGAATAGGGAAAAATTTCTAAAGTTTTTTCGCCTTATTGGGCTTAAATGCTTTTTAATATTTATAAATATGTAAACTTTTGATGTAATTTTCCCAAGGTTTTCTTTTGTTAAAAAGGGGTTTTTAGTGTAGATTTGGTTTTAAAAGGAAGGAAGAGTTTTGTCCTTGGGAAATAAAAGTTTAAAATTTGGTTAATTTTTGGCCTTTTCCCCAAAAATTGGGAAGGGAAAATGAAATGAATATTCAAATGTTTTAAAGTGAAAAATGGGGGGTCAAAATAACCCCCATTTTTTAAAAATTGATTTTGCAGAATTACCCCCAAATTTTAAAATGGGGAAAACTCAAACTTTCCGGGTTTCTTGTTTTACTTCAGGAACAGAAAAAATGAGTTTTTGAAAAATGAAGTTTGTTTTTGGAATTTTGAGGATTTTTTAATACATAATGTAATCCATTGCTGTCTGGCGTTAAACATTGAACACTATCGAAGGTTTTCATGTGAGACTTCCCTCATATTAATTGTCATTTTTATCGGCGTCTGACCATGTTTATGACATTATTGAATGAGTGCAGATGACATTTCACTTTTGTGATCATAAAACTTGTACTTGTAACCATAACCAGAAATTTTCTAGTTCACAAAGGTTATAATATGGAAATTGTTGGCAGAAAATTTGTACAACAACCACCAAAGGTAATTGTTAGAAATTTCATATAAGTCGCCTCGGTGATAGTTGTAAATGACTGAATAAAAACACCACTCTTGGCATGAATTGTACAAAAAATATTTCTTCTTAGTGAAGATAAGCAATCCTTTTATATCAAGGCTCATGTTTTACATAGCAGATCATCATTTTGTGCCATGTAAAATAGTAAATTTACTATCTATATTAAAAGCATATTTTTCTGTGATACCATCTTTAGAATGAGGGACTTTAGTGAATAACCTCCCCTGAGTACTTCCTATAAATAGATAGGTCCTAAGCTATTGGATTACTCGGACTTTATTGCCTATTTCTTTGTAGCAAACTAAATTAATTAGGGCTAATTATGATCATTTGTTATATTCAGATTAAATATTGCAATAAGATGTAGAATCTGTTGACATAAATGAAACATTTTTTTCTTAAGGTTTACATAGTTGTTGATGCATGTGGAAATAATTGATTACATATCAACCTGTCTTACAAAAAACTCAAGGATAAAAGCAAAGGATTCCAAATATTTGGACCTACTTACATTTTGGTTAACCTCTGTTTTTATCAAGGGAAGATAATCCACTACTGTCCCTCATTAATCTTAGGGCTTATATTGCCCTCGCCTCAGTGGAGCTCTTGTTTCGCCTTTTCGACAGATCTATTATATAAACTTGTTCCCTATAAAAATTATATTCCCAATAATTACAAAAAATTATAAATTATTGTTGAGACATAGATTTTTCCCAATTTAAATAATTCCATGTCTCAAGAAATTCTCAGTTTGGGTGAACATAGTAAAATCATAAGGACCAATCTCCTATGCAGTGATCTCCCCTAATCGGGACAGAGATCTCTGGCTTTTGAATTATTTTTAGCTCACCTGTCACAAAGTGACAGGGTGAGCTTTTGTGACCGCTTTTCGTCCGCCGTCCGTCCGTCGTCCGTAAACTTTTACTTTAAATGACATCTTCTCATAAACCACTAAGCCAATTTTCATCAAACTTCACAGGAATGTTCCTTTTTGGTGGTCACCTTTGAAAATTGTTCAAAGAATTTAATTTCCATGCAGAACTCTGGTTGCCATGGCAACCAAAAGAAAAAACTTTAAATATCTTCTTCTAAAAAACCCAAAGAGCTAGAGCTTAGATATTTGGCATGAAACATCTTCTAGTGAGTGTCTACCAAGTTTGTTCAAATAAAAGCCCTGGGGTCAAAATTGGCCCCGCCCCAGGGGGTCATTTATTTTCCCTATATGCATATAGTAAAAACTTAAAAAATCTTCTTTTAAAGAACCCAAAGAGCTAGAGCTAAGATATTGAGCATGAAACATCCTCTGATGGGTGTCCCTATATGCATATAGTAAAAACTTATAAAATCTTCTTTTAAAGAACCCAAAGAGCTAGAGCTAAGATATTTAGCATGAAACATCCTCTAATGGGTGTCTACCAAGTTTGTTCAAATAAAAGCCCTGGGGTCAAAATTGGCCCCGCCCCAGGGGGTCATTGATTTTCCCTATATGCATATAGTAAAAACTTAAAAAAATCTTCTTTTAAAGAACCCAAATAGCTAGAGCTAAGATATTTAGCATGAAACATGTTCTAATGGATGTCTACCAAGTTTGTTCAAATAAGAGCCCTTGGGTCAAAATTGGCCCCGCCCCAGGGGGTCATTGATTTTTCTTATATGTGTATAGCAAAATCTTTAAAAATCTTCTTTGAAAAAAACCAAATAGCTAGAGTTTAGATACTAAGCATGAAACATCTTCTAGTGAGTGTCTACCAAGGTTGTTCTTATAAAAGCCCTGGGGTTCAAAATTGGCCCCGCCCTCGGGGGTCATTGATTTTCCTTATATGTGTATATAGCAAAAACTTAAAAATCTTCTTTGAAAAAACTCAAATAGCTAGAGTTAGATATTAAGCATGAAGCATCTTCTAGTGAGTGTCTACAAAGTTTTGTTCAAAAATTGATAGCCCTGGGGTCAAAATTGGCCCCGCCTCGGGGACATTGATTTTCCATATATGTGTATAGCAAAAACTTCAAAAAATCTTCTTTGAAAAAACCCGAATAGCTAGAGTTTAGATATAAAGCATGAAACATTTTCTAGTAAGTGTCTACAAAGATTGTTATCCCCCGCCGATGGAATCGGGAGGGGGATATAGTTTTGGCGTTGTCCTTCCGTCCGTCCGTCCATCCGTCTGTCCGAATTTCGTTACTGGAGTAGTTCTCTGCAACTACTGGCTGGAATTCAACGAAACTTTATGGGAATCATCAATATCAAGAGGAGATGCGCATCTGACCGTCCGTTCGTTCGTCCGTCCATCCGAATTTCCTTTCCGGAGTAGTTCTCTGCAACTACTGGCTGGAATTCAACGAAACTTTATGGGAATCATCAATATCAAGAGGAGATGCGCATATCGTCGGCTTATTCCGGTCAGACACTTTAACTCAGAGTTATTGCACTTGATTAGTTATGTAGTATGCATATAGAGTAAAAATCGTTTCCGCGCTACTTCTCTGCAACTACTGGCTGGAATTCAACGAAACTTTATGGGAATTATCAATATCAAGAGGAGATGCGCATATCGTCGGCTTATTCCGGTCAGACACTTTAACTCAGAGTTATTGCCCTTGATTAGTTATGTAGTATGCATATAGAGTAAAAATCGTTTCCGCGCTACTTCTCTGCAACTACTGGCTGGAATTCAACGAAACTTTATGGGAATCATCAATACCAAAAGGAGATGCGCATATCATCGGCTTGTTCCGGTCAGACACTTTAACTCAGAGTTATGGCCCTTGATTAGTTATGCAGTATGCATATGGAGTAAAAATCGTTTCCGCGCTACTTCTCTGCAACTACTGGCTGGAATTCAACGAAACTTTATGGAACCTTCAATACCAAGAGGAGATGCGCATGTCGTCGGCTTGTTTGGGTCAGACACTTTAACTCAGAGTTATGGCCCTTGATTAGTTATGCAATATGCTATGGAGTAAAAAATCATTTCTGGAGTAGTTCTCTGCAACTACTTGCTGGAATTCAACAAAACTTTATGGGAATCATCAATATCAAGAGGAGATGCGCATATCATTGGCTTGTTCTGGTCAGACCCTTTAACTCAGAGTTATGGCCCTTGATTAGTTATGTAGTATGCATATAGAGTAAAAATCGTTTCCGCACTACTTCTCTGCAACTACTGGCTGGAATTCAACAAAACTTTATGGGAACCTTCAATACCAAGAGGAGATGGGCATATCATCGGCTTGTTCCGGTCAGACACTTTAACTCAGAGTTATGGCCCTTGATTAATTATGCAGTATCCATATAGAAAAATATTTGTTTCCTCGCTACTTCTCTGCTACCACCGGCTGGAATTCAATGAAACTTTATGGGATACTAAGAGGAGATGTGCATATAATCGCCTTGTTCCAGTCAGATACTTATAACTCAGATTTATGGCCCTTGATTAGTTATGTAGTATGCATACATCTCATTGGCATTTACAGATTTTACTATTTAACACAAAGTTATGGCTCTGTTATTTCCCTGAATATTTATCAATTTCAAAGAATATTACTGTTTATGCCATGATTAATATATAAATAAAGCCTTATGTCTTCAGTTGTTGTGTTAATAATAACCAGTACTCGGCGGGGGATATAAATTCAACGAATTTGCTTGTTCAAATAAAAGCCCTTGGGTCAAAACTGGCCCTGCCCAGGGTGTGTCATTGTTTTTAACTATATGTGTAAAGAAAAAACTTGACCAGCTAGACCTTAGATGTTTAGCATGAAACATCTTCTAATGGGTGTCTACCAAGTTTGTTCAAATAAAAGCCCTGGGATGTAAACCGGCCCCGTTCCGGGGGCCTATATACAGGTGAGCGACTTCAGGGCCATCATGGGCCTCTTGTTTATTATTATACCCCCCAAACGAAGTTTAGGGGGGTATATAGGAGTCACTCGGTGGTCGGTCCAGCCGTCCATTGCATTTTTCTTTGTCCGGAGCATCACTTGAAGACTAATAGTTGGAATTCAATACAACTTCATACAATGGTCAAGCACATTGAGAGGAAGTGCAGTGCACAAGAACCATAACTCCATCATCACTCATTACAGAGATATTGCCCTTTGTTACTTTTCCTTGTTCGGAGCATAACTTGAAAACTACTTGTTGGAATTCAAAACAACATCATACAATGGTCAAACACAATAAGGGGAAGTGCAGTGCACAAGAACCATAACTTTATCTAAATTAATTACAGAGTTATTGCCCTTTGTAACTTTTCCTTTTTTTTATATTTCTCGGAACCATAACTTGAAGACTAATGGTCAAGCGAAATAAGAGGAAGTGCAGTGCTTTAGAAGGCAAGCGTAACCTTTTGTTGACTTATTACAGAATAATTCAATAAAACTTCATCAATGGTCAACCACATTGAAAGGAAATACAACATACATGAACCACAACTATCTTTAATTGCCCACAACCATAACTCTATTTCAGTTCTTTTGCAAGGTATTCTGTTACTAGTAACTTCCTGATTTCTGAAGCAGTCTTGCGGGGGTATTAATCACATTTAGTGATAGTTCTAGTTATGTATACTTTTGATATTTTTTTGATAAACTATTACGAACGTAGGTACGAAAAAGTTAAAAAAAAAAAACAGAAAGAGAAAAATGACGTTGATATTAACACATTTGAATTTCGATGTTACATCATGTGACTTTCATCATCATGTGACGTCTGTGAAGTCTGCTAAGGGAGGTTATCACTGTGAGGAGTTTGCCCTAAGGACCTGCCAATTATCATTAGTTTTCGATGGTTCAACATTTTACTTTTGGGATAAATGAACTTGATTGTTAATTTTTGGAAATGTAGTATATATTTACTGAGTTTTGAATCAAAGATTTATATATTAAAGGTTGATGATCGTTCGGGAAGTTGTTATGTTCGAGAAAAGTGCACCACAAATAATTAAAATGAAACCTTGCCAAGCAGTGTTGTTCCGAGTATGGTCAAATTCAAACATGAAGATGGACAGTGGATGGTTACAGTAATGACATTAATGTCTTTCAAAGTTGAACAAAGTGACATACTGCCAGAAACAATGTTTTTAAATGTTTTTAATCATTCTTTTAATGAAAAAAAAAATAAAACACTACATAAACCTTTACTTACAACACATCAAACTGGTTATATTTTTTTCATGAAAATTGTGAGTACTACATGTATATGCATGTGATGATATGTTATATACAAATTGACTGTAAATAATCTCTTGTATGTTCTTTAACAGAATGGACACTGTTGAGTTCAAGAAGTAGACTGTGTCAGTGTACATGAAGTTGTGTGAATTATGTATGTATATAATTATTATGTAGATAATGTATTTTTTCAAAATGATCTCAGTTTTATCATGTGATAACCATCTATGTTCTTTGTTTAATTGTCTTTTGTATGTATACTGTAAAATCATCATTATTTGTAAGTCACTAATTTTTGTGGATAGATGAAACCATGAATTTAAACTCCCAAGGAAATTTTATTTTTTCTCCCTAAGCAAAATCATTATTATTTGTAAGTCACTAATTTTTGTTGATAAGTTAAATTATGAATTTGAACTCCCAAGCTAATTTTATTTTGTCTCCCTAAGCAAAATCATTATTATTTGTAAGTCACTTATTTTTGTGGATAAGTTAAACCACAAATTTAAACTCAGAGGAAATTTTATGATGTCTCCCTTAAACAGATTATTTTGCATTGCGTAATTTGTGCTTTATATTTTTGCTAAAATCATACAATCCATGAATTTATGAACCCATAAAAATGTCTCACAAAATTAAATGAATTCACAGATAATTTGTGTCTCTAAAAATACATTTTAATTAGGAGAAGAAAAAAAATAGTTTCAACTGATTAATTCAATGGCCTGATTTAAATTGGTAAAGATAATTTCACCCAACTTTTAGTATTAAATATATAATAGTTCATAATCAGCATTCTTTTTTTCTATGAGACCCAATGACTGTTACTTTCTATTTGTTTAATTTAAATTGAATGAAGTAAGCAGACTTCACTGTATTAATAGGTTTACCAGTTTTCCTTGTGTTTTTTTGCCCTCTTAGTTTTCTTCAGATTTTGAAAGTCCCTTTTTTCCTCATTTTTCTAAGACACATAGTTTTTACATATTTCATGATTTGTTTCACACACAAAAAAAAGCTATTTTTGGATGAAATCGGTCATGATCTTGTACCTGTTTGAAGCTTGCTACACTATTAAACTCAATACTTTATATTTCTGTATAGAATGTTAACAATATTGCATATTTGTGACTTAAACATAATAAAGTAGAGTAGTTAATTATCATTTTCCTTGTGATAAAGTTTCACTAGTTTAATAATTTGAAGAAATATAGTACATAGAGCTAAAATGATGTATATTTATTTAGATATTTTAATTTTCTTCTTACTGATTTATCATCAAAATGATCTTTAAATTATGCACAACATACTAAACTGTTCAAATTTTGCACAAAAAACTACTTTTTTACCGTTTTATTTCCCCAAATACTTTTGTAGAATCAATTCCTAGGTCTCTCCAAGTTTTTCTTAACTGCTGCTGAAAGTTCTGTATTTTCTAGGTTAGGTATTACTTTTTCATCTTGTATAGTTATATTATTAATGAAATAATAAAGTCACATGAAATTTTTGAAAATATTGACTAATTACCACTATTTATCGATTGATTTGATTGGTAATATATGCAGATTCTATCCCTTATAATAAATCCCGTATAATAAAATTTAGTCAACTCATTATTTTATAAAGTTATAAAGATTTTTGACAGGTTATATGGCACTATAGGAATGGTTGTAAATAAAATAATAAAATTATACATGGATATACAACATATCTGACATCTTTATGATAAGATTATATAATAGCAGATTTTTTTTTATTAGAGGAAAAACGGAAATAACTTAATAAGTTCACTATTGTGTGTATTGATTATATAAAAATTAGGATTATCCAATGAAAAGCCTCGTTACAAAAGTGCAGGATGATCAAGCATGAAATTATTGTTGATATGATATAATGAAGGATTGTTTTTTTCTGTAGAGCTTGAATTTGGTACCGGATTAAGTTCATATTCCCTGCTAGGATGAGTTTTGAATTGGTTTATATGTTAACTAGTATGTTACCCATAGGCATAACAATACTTATTTTTTATAACAATATCTTCTTGTATATTTGTTACTTACCTCAAGTGTGTTGAATTTTTTATTATTCAGGGACTTACTGTGTACTTTGGTTTTACATCTTATGTTGTATTTAGTTGATTTAATTATCATTGCTTTTATTTCGAATAAACGTGTATGTTATTATAATTTCCTGTTTCTTATTATTAAATCAATAAATGATATATAAAGTCAATAACTGAATATGCCACATCTACGCTGTCAATGCATTCAGCTTGACAGCAAGTTTTGGTATTAGATATATTCTTGCATTGGATAAGACACCCATTTACCTAACTGGCAAATCTCTAGCTAGTTCAGTTAATCCGATTGAATCGATGGCCACCGCAAGATCATGTATTGTCACTAAATCACCATTCTGTCTTTTCCATTTAAGTATCGTTTGATATGCCATTTCATAGTTTCCTTCAATATGAAAGTCTACTTCAATGGCCTCAATCTGTCCTTTGCTAAGACCAAACGTTCTTGCTAGTTTCTTCCAATTTCTGCCTATGTTGTTACACACGTGATTGAGATCTTGTCTAGTTGGTTTTTCTTTTGAATCTGGAACGATTATAAACCTGGTCAGTGATTTTACAGGCGAATAAAGGCTGTTTCCCCTAGCCCAAAAATATGTATATTTTCTCCTAAAAATAATTATATTTCCCCCCAAAATGCCCTGTGCACATTCTTCAAGAGAGCAGCTAGAAGACAGAAAGCAGTCCCTATAGAAAGCCTCTGCTATGAACCATGCATGTAAAATTGAACTGAAATTGAAAATATAAAATTTCATTCTCAGTTGTTAGTCCCCTACCGGTTTACCGGAGGGGACTTTAGGTTTACCCTCCGTCCGTCTGTCTTTCCGTCCGCACTCACAGGAGAGTAATTATGTGGCTAGAGGGACAATAGGTTCTCTTTGATGTCATTCATTCCGTAATGCTTTTATGTGGCTATTTTTCTTTTGCGTGGCTAAAAGAACAATAGAGAGAACAATAGAGTAGCCACATAATTACTGTCCTGTGAGAACGTCCGTCAGTCCGTCCGTCCACAAAACTGGATCCCGCGATAACGTAAAAAGTACTGAAAATATTTTAGTGAAACTTGATATATGGATAGATGGCAGTATGGAGATTATGCACGTCTTTTTCTTTTCTTCCTATGTTGAAAATTCTGGTTGCTATGGCAACAAATAGACTGAAAATATGGCAAATTTTACACATAACCTGGATCCCGTGATAACGCAAAAAGTACTGAAAATATTTTTATGAAACTTGATATATGGATAGATGGCAGTATGGAGATAATGCACGTCTTTTTCTTTTCTTCCTATGTTGAAAATTCTGGTTGCTGTGGCAACAAATAGACTGAATTTCAAGATTTCTGATTCTAGTTTTTAAGTTTTTTCACTATAAATACTTTATTTCTTAAGGTATTTTCTTCAAACTTTAAATATAAGTTGCTTGTCATCAACCACATCATATGTGACAAGGTTTACAAACTCTAACAACACAAAATTTATCAGAAATTACCTCCCTTGAACATAAAATTTTTATGAAAAAAACATTGTTTTTTTTAAATAACTTCTGTTTCTGAATGTATCTACTTCAAACTTCATATAAATGTTTCTTATTATCACTCAACATTTGTGAGTGTTCAATACTCTAGCAAGATTATATCCAGAAGTATGCCCCTTTTGAACTTAGACTTTTTTTTTGAGAAATTGGTAATTTTTACTCCAACTTCTTCAATCATGATAGGATTTTAAACATGTTATATTTTTGATAACAGGGATGTTTAAAAAATAACTTTAGAGTGTCCTTCAGTCCGTCTGTCTGTCTGTACATAAAAACTGTTTCCTGTGATCACTTTTAAAGAACTTTTTCAACAAATTTATTTAAATAGGAACATAAGTGAATGGCCAATGGCCCTTCAGAATGTTGCTTTGGCTCTTACCGGTAGGGGACTTATGGATTGCTTGCAATACTATGATAATTGCTTGTTTTAATTTAATTTTTCCCTTTTCTGATTTCACGCGCTACATTTTTACCCTTCAGAAAGCCATAGGTTGTTTTGAAAATTGGGAAAAAAAATCACTGCTGGTATACAATGCATTTGTTGAGAAAGGAACTTTAGTTTAACATATCACACGGCCAAACACCCGCATCTCCATTTTTATGTAACTTCCACCAAAAAAATCTTCCATAAATGAAAAACAAACAAACCTTATAAAAACAAAAATCTTCCATTCATTAAAAACTGTCAAATACCCATTTAGAACCAAGGAAAAGGATGAGGCAAACACAATAAACCAAGTTTTTTATTCTACATGTACAAATCACCTGTTAGTTTTTCGGAATGAGGTGTATGACTTTTTTGTGGCGAACTTGTAGAACTATTGCCTCGAGGAGATGGCTCTCTGTGGCGAGTCCTAGTCCGTCCATTTATGACGTTTACTTGTCCACTTCCAATCTGCAAATTACGCATTCCCGGAATATCTATCACTGTACGTCCGCTGCTCGCTAAAAATTACAAGTCCAAATTAAGAGAGGCTGAAAATTAGGGTTTATAAGGCCCAAAATAAAATATTGTTTGTTTCCGTTCCCGCTACCTACCCACAAAAATCACAGCTGCCCAAAAGTTTTCATTGTCAAACAGAGGATTTTTTTTACAAAACACGAAGGCAGTCTGTCAATGAAAACCACATGTGTATATCTGCCTCATGTTTTAAATATACAAACTGGGATATATGTGGCATAAATCTTATTACTTTATATAGATGATTTGCATTCACAATTTGTTTTGAAATCTTTATAATTTTAGATAGAAAAAGAATTGGATTAAAACTTTAGTTTTACCTACCTACCCTTGGCATGGTAGAACTGGTATTTTTCTTATTTCAAGCGTTTCAGCTCTAAATGGGTTTGAACATAATGTCACACATGTGCAATTTATACATAATAAATGGAAGCGGCTTAATCAAGAAAATTAATTTATACTTGACTCGTAGCCTATTAACTGCAACTGAACCAGTGCAGTAAAAGATCAGTACTCATAGCTGCACCCCTTAATACCTATTTCAGTCAGTACTTATTTTGAATTATTCCCTAAAATGATGAGTGATTTCTCTTCTTCCAGATTGATAGACAAGACCATTGATGAATATTAAATAAATTTCCACCGTACAGTATTCAAAACCACAGGAACTTGACATTTAATCAATACATCACAAAATATACGTATATTAGTGATATATAGCCCTTATCTCTATATAAAAAACGAGATAAGGGCTATATCAGTATATTATCACTAATATACGTATATTTTGTGATGTATTGATTAAATGTCAAGTTCCTGTGTTCAACGGATGTGATTAAAGTATAGTTGCACTCAAACGATAAAAAATATTTTATCTTAATAGGGAAGATTATATTTTAGATCAATATAATGAACCAGTGTACGTTCACATTAAATGTTAGGGGGTGGATACTGGTTTTAAGTTTAAACGCAAGAGGTTTTTCGAAAGGGAATATAAATTAATTATAATTATCAGAGCATACGATACTGTATTAGTCTCATGACCACAGGCCTACCTATCGGTTTAAAATTGTTATAAATTGATTAAATAAACAGATGCTTAAATACAGCGTATACTACAAACAAAATATGTACTAACCAGGGATATATTCTGCCTTTCCGTTTATTGTTACCACTGTGTAGCCATTTTCCGTGTCATTATCATCACTATCTGAATCACTAACATATCCATACATAACTTGAAAGATACGATTAATAGTGCCTATGCATTAATAAAAAAACTCTCTTTTAAAACAACAACGAAATATTTCCCATACAGAATACCCGGTTATTCTTTCCTTGAAAAAACACAATGTAATCGAATACGAAAGTAAGGGTAAACCCAATATGCGCAATTTCCGCTCTAATCGCAACTTTTCGGCCCTTCCCGTCAATCTTCGGTTAAGATCGGATATTAATTCATTCATGATTATGTAAAACGATACTCTGTGAGCTGCGAAGGGAGCGTAGTGATCTGACATTCATAGGAAAATAAAGTCTGTTTTGGTACAATTATGATTGAATATATGTCTGACAGGTCAGTTTAATATACCCATTTATGTACAATAATAAACCAGTTGGCATTTGGTACTTTCGGTTCCAAACCAAAATTTAAGTATAATGTTTTTTAATAAGTTTTTTATTTTTTATCCCTATAAAAATTTACTTTTTTTTGATGGCTTTTACTCGATATATTGGTTAAAACTTGAGAAAAACTCCCGCTTTAAATTATTTTTTGTTAACATTTTTATTGACCGGAATACCTATTGTTCTCGTTATCCAAAAAAACTGACGGAAAGTCGAAAAATTATATTGAAATTCTTTCTAAAGTACATTATGCCCAAACCCCAAATAGAAAAAGGGCAGTGAACGCGTAAAAAAACATACTTTGCCTAATTTGGTAAGAAGAAATTACCTATAAAACCCGTCACGAATTTTCTATAAATATCGTTCAAAAATGTTTTTAACCTGTTCATATACAATTAATTTATTTTCAAAAATTGGACAAAAAGTTTTGCCAATATTTTTTAATATTTGTTTGAACTCAACTTGACAGGAAAAAAAAACATGATTTTTTTTTAAATTTTTAAAAAGTTTATTAAACAATTTTTTGACATAATTTTAAAAAAATTTAATTTCCCTTTCAATTCAATCTGAGAATACGACCTTATTTTATTGGGCTTTTTGTTTTTCTCATACTTTAAGACAAAAAATTTTTTTTTTTTTATTTTTTATCATTTTTATTTTTTTTAAAAAATTTTAACACTTAAAGTGTAGATAAATGTGACTGACACAATTTTAAAGAGGACTTATAGGTTACTGTATTACTAGATATACTGTTTTTGTTATCTCCTACTTTTTCCATGGCGACCCCTTATGATGTATAAATTTAATTTTTTTTTTCTTTTTTCAAATCTAAACCCTAAATAAAAAAACCCTTAAGGCAAATTTTTGAAAAATTTCCCATTAATAAAATGATATAAAATTTTAAATTTCTAAAAAAATTACAATAAAATTTTTTTTGCCGTAAGAGCTTTATCTTAAGTTAAATGAAGAGAAAACGTTTATAAAATGCGTGTTTGAAATTTTACGTAACTTTGATATTTTATGTTATTATATATACATGTACATGCATGCTGTAATTATATACATGTACCTATGGATTTTAATCCCTAAAATACACGCAAATTATGAAGCGCTGTTAGTATATGTACTCGCTGCCGTACATGTCACCAGTCATGACCGTAATTAAAGAGATTAATTTTGAAGCACAAAATGGTGGTGATTTTACAGAAACGGTGGGGACATTTCAACTTCATGAATTCCCGATTTCATCTTCGTAAATTCACAATTTCAATTTCATGAATTCGCGTTAACCTACGAAATTCACGTATATACACGATTTCAACTTCATGAACTTTACGAACATTTCAACTTCACGAATTCAACTTTCACGTTTTGAACGTCTCGATTGCAACTTCATGAATTTTAGCTTCACTAATTCACTATTTCAATTTCACAATTCAAGATTTAAACTTTGTGAATTAAACTTAATGAATTCAATGTTTTGAACTTAACGATTTCAACTTCACGATTTTAAGATTTCACCTTCACGCTATAATCATGAATTAACGAAGTTGTAATCGTGACTTCACGAAGTTGTAATCGTGACTTCACAAAGTTGTAATCGTGACTTAACGAAGTTGTGATCGTGAATATACTGAAGTTGAAATCATTAATTAATGAAGTTGAATTCATGAAGTTGAAATCTTGAAGTCATGAAAAAGTCATTATGTACATAAAGTAAAAACTTAAAAAAAATCTCCTGAAAATGCAAAGCTTAGAGCTTAGATATTTTGTGTGTAACATCATCTAATGAAACTCTACAAAAAATGTTCAAATTATAGCCCAGGGGTCAGAATTGGCCCCGCCCCGGGGGTCATTGATTTTCATAATGTTTAAAGCATGAATATTGTATGTTGAAATCTTGAGATTGTGAATTCGTAAAGATAAACCCGAGAATTCAAGAAGTTGAAATGTCATCACCGGTCTTTCTTGTATAATTTACCTCCATGAAATTCAATTTTCAGTATTCGCCTAAAAGTAGTGTAACCAGTGACAAAATTGAAGTTTAACCCTTCAAAATAACATTCTCAGTATTCGCAAAAGAAATTAACTTTAAGCCGAAAGTAGTTCACTGTACAGCGGTAAATGAGCACTTACGTAACGTAATCAGTGCCAATAATGAAGGAGGTTAGCCTTGAAAAGGGCTGTTGTTGCCAGCAATATGCGCCGCCGTTCAAACCGTCTAACCGTACTAGGGGCAACTACCCTCGGCTTCTGACATGACAGGTGGTTCGTTGATAGTGATAGAAGCTTAACTCTTCCGAACACCGGATGGTGATAACCTGCCCCATATGTAAAAAAAAACAACAAAAAAAACCCCACAAAACGTGCGGTTCTTAACCAGCCTACTTGCTTCAGATCTTCTGCGGACGCCCACTACCTTCTCTACGAAGTGCATGTACCGAGGAGAAGAGAGAAGATCATGTGTGTGTGTGTGTGTGTGTGTGTGTGTGTGTGCATTGGTGCGCGCGCGTGTGTGTGTGCGCGATCGTGTGTGCGTGTTTATGCCGGCTCGCCACGGCGAGCCGGTATTACGATAGGATTTTACTGAGAAACAACCTAAAACTCCGAATCAATCCAAAAATTTAATCGAAGCTTAGCTTCCAGCTTTCTACAAAATTTATCTATCAGGGCTAGGATCCAAAATTATTTAGCCAATCAAATTTGATCAATTTTCACGCCATTTTTAAAAAGCAGCAAGTATTGTTTTGAGCGCAAAGATATATTGATGATTAAAATGTTTGTTTTCATGGATTCTTTTCAGTAAATATATATTTACACTGACTTTTGATTTAGCGATCTCACCAGTCCTGTTTACTCTGTAGTAAGTTTTCGTTTGTTTAATTAACATAAACGACATCTGGTTCTGTGCATTTTTTTCTTTTTCCTTTTTTCCGGTCATTTTATCCTTTCCGGTATTTAGTGTATGTATTTACTGGCCGGGATCCGGGACGCCCGGGATCCGGGATCGTTTACGATAATAAGGGAAAAAACTAATAAACTATATTTGTGTTGATTATTGTCGTAATGAAAGGCCATTAAACGTTAAGTTTTTTTATTGTATGTAATGAAAGTTAAATTGATTTAACTTAGGATACAGATATATTTAGAGCTATTTATTAACAAAATCACAATACTTGTAATTATATGCCTAATTAATTGGAAAAATCAAAGACTATATTCTTGAATTTGTCAAATCCCGGGATCCCTATATACGATCCCGGCTTTTCTGAAAACTATATTCTTGAACTGTCCAATTCCTTGAATCTCTTAATTTTTTAATATGATCCCGGCTTTTCTGAAAACTATATTCTTGAACTGGTCAATTTCCGGGATCCTATTTTTTTAATAGGATCCCGGCTTTTCTGGCTGAATTGATAGACAACTTGTGTTTACTTCAGGACTTGTATCTGTCACTTATTCCAATACTAAATAACATATTACAACTTAACTTCGTATAAAGAGACATTTTTATGAATTCTACTTATCTATTTTTTTTTCTGGTCAAGGTCAACAGGCCATATAGTAAATGTGCATAGACATAGGGACTTCATTCTATCTGTTTACATCTTAATTCATATATACTCATATTCCTCTTTGTTAAACTGAGAGACTGAGAGAACTGGCTTCCTTAACTTTATATGTCACTTTTATTTTGATGTTCGCTGAAGTCTTTTCAGCTAACAGAACTGTCATTTTTACATTTAAACACGCCCCTGGAAAGAAATTACGAAGCGAGTCGCTACTAGCTTTTTTAAAAGCTAACCTTGTGAATTTACTTATACTGGCCTTCGTGGCCAGAGTCTCCGCGCACTTGCTGGTCCAGCCGAAGTATCCACATTAGCGGCGACTGGCGACCTTTTTCATGTTTAAATGTTGAGTTCTGTTTAAGCCAGTGCTAAGGTGCGTGGATGATAACTTTCACCTTCCAGTAGCGCCCATGAACAGGCTTAATCAAACCGAGCCCGAAACATTGTTATTTTTGTCGTTTCGGGCGTTCTTTAGAGATTACGCTTTTTCCTATTTCTATGCAGATCTTCCTAAGCCTGTTGTTCGTACCGTGGTGGTCAGGAGAAGAAAATACTTTTTAAGGCACCATGTCTTACAAAAAACGGCACTTGTTAGCGCTACCCTTCCGAGTTAATCACCATAGGTCAACCAATCATTCAAGATATCTGGGATAACTTGACCTTCATCTGCTGTTGCCTTTTACGTTAGTGATAAATACGGACCTAATTAATTAATATAGACATTTCCAAATTGAAATCATTAAAACCTCTTTTAAGCCAAAAGGCGGTTTTAATAAAGTTAACTTTCATAGTTTTCATAATTTTCACTGATACGCTGTGCTTGTTTTCGTACATTTGCAAACTATATCTAAAGACCGCGACTAGACGGTGTTATTGACAAACGCATGTAAGTGGCAAAGAAGAAAAAGAAATATCCTGTTGTGGAAACGCATTCAGTGGAATAAACCACTGAATCATCTTAAATTTTATTTCAAACTTGAAATATTAAAAAGAGAGATTTACTATATTAAGATTATAGCTGGCGATAGCTGTATTTAATGGGCAATTAAACCCTTAAACCGCATTATAGTTTAAGGAAATATATATAAAAGTTGAATTAATATCTCAATGATTGACAATATATATATTTGTTTGCTTGTGAACACCAGCTTTTATATTTTCTCTCTTTGCTACGTGGAAATATAACATCTGGTGTTCACTGTATGAAATATATTTCGACAAACAAAGTTTCTTTTTATTTCATGCTTTTTAGTTTTAGGATATAAAGCAGCTAGCATGTCCCCAGATTCATGCTAATTTTCATGAAATTTTAAAAATGTTTTCAAAAAGTAACATATTGTGAAATGATCAAAGAAAGTAATGTACACATTGGAAACACCACGTGAATTGCTAAACAGATGTTACCAGAAAAAGTCCTTACTGCGTTAGTAACGCAGTAGAAATATAGTAATAAATACTGCAAAATCAGTCCTTATATAATCGCATGTAAATAATTATTTAAATAATAAATCCTTTTACTTTCCTTAAAATCTTAGAATATTTTTCTCGAAATATTTGGGCTTATCTGGAGACATGCAGTTATAAGTCATTTTACCGATTAAAGAGTTATCTGGGTTTCGCGTGTTTTGTTACAAATAAGAGGGACCATAACAATGTAATAAAGTGGCCTTGGTCCATTTGGCTCTTTTATCTAATTTTGACCCAAGTAGCTATAATTTAAATAACTTTTAACGGGTTATTTTGCGCGGATGGTTAAGAAAATAGAACAACTTTTTTTATAAAATACTTTTTTTACAGATATTGAAAAAGGGGAGTTACTGACTTTTGTATTTTTAAGTATTAAAAAATTAAAGAAAATAAATAAAACATTATCTTGAATTTTAAATATTGAAGATGTTCTAAATATAGTACACGACTCTTCTCTAATCGGTTCCCGCGAATGACTACATGACTTCATACGAGGTCTCGCATAGTTCCTAAATGTCATGGTCGACTGTAGTCTTCACAGTTAAAGACGGTATTAATATTTTTATACTTTAAATGGTATAGAACGATAATAAAATAATTGTTTTATCTAAAAAATCCACAAGAGTTATTTAATTTGGACAAGGGTATTTACAAAATGAAAAAAAAAGGTTAAATCACATATGTGATTCTGGTTAGGTTTTGTAACGGATCAAATCCAAAACTTTAATGCCGCATCAGTTGAAGAAAAAAAATGTTAAAAAACGGCTTTTAAAATTTTGGAAGTGGGTATCGTAGTGTCTGTGTAAGTCTATGTAAACTAAGTGATCCAAAAGTGCAGGACCGAAAAGGCTGTTGTAGAGTATCAGAATGTGATACTACAAAGACTTGTTATTGTCGGGTTTTGAAGAAAACACAATGTTCTTTCCGCATACTTAAAGGGCGGTATCATTTTGTTTTTAATCCAGGGTTATGATTTAAATAACATTTATAGAGAATAACAATGTAATGCATACTATATATGTATGTTCTCTTGATATAATTACTCACATCCGAACTACAAACAGTGATTTTATTTAGCGATACTACAAACTTTGTAACAGAAATAACTGTTCTTACATATCAGACTGGCGTTTCCGTGAGTTTTATCCATGCCGGAAATTTCATCTGGCATGGGGGTGCCAGATGAGTCGCGTGCTGTACAATGGCACGCTTATGATGACGTCATTTTACCGTTATGAATGAAATTGTAATTCATACGCTGTTGAAAGAAAGTAGTTACGGTTGTAATAATATAAATTTACATTGAAATTAAAAATAAAGAATTTAAAATATAACTGAATATGGTAGAATATGCAAGAAAAAATATCTGACATATGTTTGCGGTTCGGATCGGAATATCCGTCCCTCGTCGTGGGCGGGTCACCTCGGGACGGATATTCCGATCCGAACCGCAAAATATGACAGATATTATTATTCCTATCGGAAAGCCAAAATAGTGTTTTACAACTTTTGGCTTATAATTCTGTATGTAAAATGAAAGTGTATAAATATAGGATATTGAATGACTGAATTTATTGGACAAGTTGAAATAAATTTATATTATGCGAGCCTCTTGCGAGCATAATATAATTTTATTCAACAAGTTTACTAAATTCAGTACTGAACTTGCACAATTATAGTATTCTCATATAACATATCCAAAGTAAAGTTTTTAATGTGCAATAGAATCTTTTTCTAATGACACGCCTATAGCCTAACGCTAAAATTAAGAGCGTCTTTACACTATGTTTGTATAACGCAAATGATGTCACGTCAATATATATGTACGTTTGTGCAATACCGTTTTTACGGAGTCGTAAAATCGACACGGTTATTTGATAAAAAAATTTATCACATACCTTGCCGATTTTGCGACTCCGTAAAAATGGTATTGCACGGCCATGCATATATTTTGACGTGATATAAACATAGTGTAAAGACTTGCTAAATGTTGGCGTCACACTATAGGCGCGTCAATGAAAAATGATTTTTTGCAACGACTGTGTGATAAATTACTGAATTTATTGAATTCGTAGATTAATATAATATTTTGCTTGCCAGAGGCTTGCATAATATAATTTTATTCAACTCTATTAATAATAGTATTGAACCTACACGCATAATTCAATATTCTCTATATATTTGGTATATATGGCTCGTAAAATTAATGTTTTATGTGCTTAATGATTATATAGTTATAGAATATATTGAACGAGAGTAATTTGAAAGCATACCAGTATTTTATTAAAAGCGAGTGGGCATGTATAGTTAAAACATATTTATTTCACGAGTATGTTCATTTACATATATACATATACAAGAGTGGGCATGTTTGAATAAATTATCGCCAATCCTATTAAAGGTAGCAGTTGAATATTTTATTCCGGAACATCTTATTCTGTTTACGTACAATTTTCGTGTATATGAAATAACATAGATCTTTTTTATTTACAATTGTATAATAAATAGCATAAAGTAATGATAGCAACAATATTTTAATGTTTTTTTTTAATTTTCATATACTATTTCATTAGATATAGCTTAATGTATACATGTACACTTTATGGTACATAATTGTTTTGAAATTAATGCATCATTAAAATACCACTGAACTGAACTTAATACCGGGTAGGATAAATCTCTGACCATTAGATATAATTCTGAACACAAAGGACAGCATTAAGGAATGCCATTCTACACCTTTGATATAACCAACAAAAACATATAAGACTACAACTACACGTATTGTACTTTAAATAGCAAATATCTGAAATTTTGCTTACGCAATCATAAACAATTTTAGTCTTTACCACCTTAATATCTATAAACTCTTCGAACTCATTCAAAGGATAAATATAACTTTTTGGCGTTCCGGTTTAAAAAAAAAATAAAGTCACGTGACATACGTTACTATATATGCTGATACACCTTATTAAAACGACAGAAGGGACTCTGGAATAGACATATAAATCTGTTTAAGTGTAGCAAACATGCAAGGGATTGTAGACGTCATTCTTGCGTTCTGTTTTGTTAATTGTATTGCGGTGCAAGCGTCAAACAATGTGGAGGAGAAACTATTAGACAAGGTTGCCGAGCTGGACCAGAAAGTAAAACAGCTGGAAGTCAATGTCAACAAAAGAGGTAAATGAGTGCTTTTATTTCAGCGTTATAATTTGATTTTTCGAGGAAAACAATGCGATGCACACTATATATGTTAGGTTTATAAGAAGAAATTTATTAAAATTGGTTATTCTATAACTTATAGTCTATATGAACTAAGTGACCGCAATGTTGAAGCCATAGGTATGATTACATAACTTTTATAGTATTAACATGGCAATTTCCACGTGCTTTGGACATTGTGGTTTCACACAAGAATATTTAAATGTGTTTTACTTTGTGATTTTATGTACACTAAGTGAACCCCATGTCGATCCCAATTTAGACTTAGGAGCATTTTTTATAGAGGACAACAACGAACAAAAGCTCATATTGGTGCAATTGGTTCTATAGTAAGCTACAAATTGGAATAAAATTTTAGCATTAAACTCTACGAACCATTTAATTAAAGGATATAGAGTAATTTAATAGTACTTTTTGAGCATTCGTGTTTAAAAAAGTATGTAGTCACGTGTCATACGTTACAATTTATGCTGATACACCTAATAAAAAACGGCAGAAATGACTCTGGAATAGACATATCAATCTGTTAAGTTTATCAAGTATGAAAGGATGTTCAGAAGTCATTTTTGCGATATGTCATTTGAGCCGCGCCATGACAAAACAAACATAATGCGTTTGCGATCAGCATGGCTCCAGACCAGCCTGCGCATCCGCGCAGTCTGATCAGGATCCATGCTGTTCGCTATCGGTTTCTCTACTTGTTATAGAGTTTGTAAGCGAACAGCAAGGATCCTGATCAGACTGCGCGGATGCGCAGGCTGGTCTGGATCCATGGTGGTCGCAAACCCATTATGTTGGTTTTGTCGTGACGCGGCTCATTTTTATTTGTTTGGGTCGTCAGACCAAACAAATAATGGTAGCGAAATTTCAGACCCTCATGCTGTTAATTGCAAATGCCGAAAGTAGTCCGCTTTTTGGAAGCGGTTACTTTCCTTCATATGTACATTAACGCCGAAAAAATAAGGGGAGATCACTGCGTAAAGATTGTCAAATGAAGGCGTATTAATTTCTAATGTTGTGTTATTCTTATAGATATACATGCTTGTATTCAGCGCCATGATTATTTACTTCAGTGTTAAGCAACAGATTAACCGTGAACAAAATACATTGAAATTAATAAGGGTTACAAACTCTAATTAAGAATAATTTGGTATTCTTCAGACTGTTATCTTATAACTCCCCGTGGTCGAGGGGTTTACACGCTCCCTTTTAGAAGCGAGAGGTCCTGAGTTCAAATCCCAGTTCAGGCTACTTGTGTCTTTTTTGTTTGTTTTTTTTTTAATTGATTAAGCCAAATAAACATTGAATTGAATATCAGTGTTGCAATTAGTCTTATAGCCACGTACTATAGTTATAACACTGGAAACAGAATTTGGTGACACTTTACAAACAAATTGGTTTATAGTCTTACAACCTTCACCTTTCTGACATTCTGAGACCCAAACAAATTCAGCGCCTTCTGTGCTTTGATTATTGTATTGCAGGACATGCGTCGTACCAAGATAAGGAGGAAATATTAGCAACGGTCCGCAACCTGGAACAGAAAGTATTCCAGCTGGAACAAGAAATCTACATGCAAAAAAGAGGTAAATGTTACATTTGATTTACGATTTCATATAAAGGCAATCAAGCAGCATAATTGGCGATCTTTATTTTATGAAAAAAGTTTTGATTGGTTGATATTTTATTCTTTTCTGTGTTCCATAAGACACTTTTATGTGAATTTATAAAAACCGTCAGTTAAGGCAGTTATTGTAATTTTTTTCCCTACCCCAAAAAGTCAAAAATCACTAACAAATAAATAAACCATTTACACTTATATTGGCATAATGTCTCTTAAAAAATATTGTAATGATATGGAATGATGTTGATGTAGTACTGTCCAACACCGCCAAGTGTATAAACAAAGAGAAAGTGATTGAGGATATGTCAATTTGTTAAAAATGATTACATATACATGCAATTTTGACAATTAAAAGGATAATGTATAAACTAGATTGACTTTTTTTCAAAAGACAAAAAAGTTAACATTTAGTTGTTCTTAACTTGTTCTTAACTTCTAAAATTTGATAAGAGATAAAATATTTCATAAATAATGTATTAAACATGATTATTTTTTTTTCTCCAAACAGACAAAGTATCTACCAGGTGCGAAGATGGTTGGGAATATAACGATGGATCTTGTTACTTGCTAGTGGAGGATGAGTTACCATTTTTAAAAGCAGAAGTAAGTCAGATTGAAAACTAAACTTTAAAGACCCAATGTGCCTCGGAAATGCTTTTATTCTATTTCTCAAAAGCCTTTTGTTTTTATTTGCTTTTCAAGAAGTAACTGATTGGCCAATTACCTGATACATCTTTTTCTTCTGATGCTTTTTGGTAAAGTAGTAAAGATATAGTGATTTAGTATTTTGTTTGGAAGTCAAAATTCTCCGATAAATAACCTTGCGTCTTACTTTATTTTCAGGTCGCATGTATAAACCACAATGCTTATTTAGTCCATATAAATAACGCAGACGAAAACACGTTCCTTAAAACCTATCTGAGTGAATCAAAAGGTCTGTAATTGTTAAGTCTATCTTATGTGCAGTCATGTTTATAATCAAAAGTGTTAAATAGAAATATTAGTTTTTGTTATTTCTGTCTTACATATGATTTAAGGGCAAATATGATATAAGGGCAATCTGCAAGAAACTGTCACCGACTGTCGTCACAGATGGGAACTTCTAGCTGTTGGTTGACTGTCTAGCGTAAACTCTTCAGAGCCTTGTTATCACCGTAAATGATTATACAATATACCCATGAACTAGGTATTTATCAATAGCCGATCAAAGGTTTTTGCATTATGATCACTTTCCCTCGTAGCGTGCTCGTCGCTGTGAATGTACAGGGCATCAACAGAAGATTTGAGGACTTGGAATGGCGAAAAAGACCAGACCTTGAACTCAAACCAGCTGCCGATGTTCTGATTAATGCCGAGGGGAGTTGCCCTACAATGTAGGCGGAGAGACGACAAGGATGGTGTGCTAGGGTACGAGAGGAACCTAGCACAGGTTACACGGCCCTTAGTTGGCAAACAGCTCTTTAGGGTGCTTCTTTTTTCATATTGTTACAGGTAACTGTACATTTAGGTTCTCATTGTTCGCCAAACAGTGAACTACTTTTGGCTCAAAATTCATATCTTTGGCTTATTATCCATGGAAATTGCGCGAAGGTAAATTATCACCACTTTGTGCTTCAAATTTGACTCTTTAAGGAAAAAAATCCCTGGTAACATGCCCGGAGTCCGTACTCGACAGCGAAAGATGCTTTTTTGAGCCCTTGCGGGCGGATTGACCGTGAATAATCATAGACTACCTACCTACCTACCTACCTACCTTCCTGATGTTTGCATTATATGACTTTAATTGGTAAAAGCTGTGGAAATATAATGTACAAAACACTATACATACTTGAACTAACCATAGTAATCATCATAAAGTACATGTATATTTTTCTCTTCAACTATCCCTGTATCTGACAATCTCTGTCAAGTTTGACATTAAACAGTATTCCATGCGTTTCATGCAATTGTAAATGACACATTGTCATACTTTCAGATTTGTGTTTCGTGTTTGCTTTTTTTGCATTGAATAAAGTAATGTCAGTTCCAAAATTCTTTGAAACATGTTTTATCCACTTAAATACAGCGCCGTTTAAAATTTCCAAATGATGCTTCATAATCCACAACAATTTCATTGTATTTTGTTCCGGCCATTGTTTTCATGTTTAGGGGTAATTCATTATTTTACTTAAAAACCATACACCTCTTTTTACGGAACGGCACGTATATGTCACAGTATAGGGCCGTTATGAACACATCTTCCGCTCATTCTGAATTCAAAAACTTTGCCATTTTTTATGTTTAAATGTTGAATTCTGCTTTAGCTGTTGCTAATGGGGCGCGAAGAAAATGTAGAACCAAGAAAATAGCAGAAACAACCACTTGCTTTGCTTTTCAGGTCTTTTATATCTTTTTATTATTTTATAGAAATATCAGGATGGCAATGCCATTGCTGTACATAGTTTTATTTTTTTTTCTTCACTTATTTCAAAAAAATTAAATACCTTACCTCAAGGACCGCAGCCGTTCTTTGATGCGCTACATTACATTTTTGATACTCTAACTATTTCTTGCAATAAAATCGTATTTTACCTTCGAGTCGACGGATTTTCTACAAAAAAGGTCGGCAGGTGCACGATGACGTAGTATCCTACCATTGTGTATGTTAGATATTATTTAAGCATTATATGAAAAGAAATCTACATATACAAAAAGTTCCTAAACCGTGTTGGCCGTTTTTTCTTCTTTGTGTTTAGTGACAAAATCACGAGGAGTGTTAGAATAAAAAAATAATTACGTCTTCTGAGAAGCTTTATTAAATTGGCGAAGAAATAAAAATCTTGAGTTAATCCTTTATTTTATCTGAATGATCCTTTATTTTATCTGAATGACTTATGTATCTCACTCCAGGTTCTAACGTTTGGATTGGATTGGCAGATGTTTTTAAAAGAGGCATCTACCAATGGATTGACGACAAATCGACACCCTATTTTGAAGACTGGGCGCGTAAACAACCTGGCATTTCCAAGACTGGTATGGTACATTGCGTAAATATGCTCGCCGGAAGGAATTACGAATGGATTGACCGGATCTGTGATGATCCTTTAATGTTCATTTGTGAAAAGAAAATGACAGATTTGAAATAAATATAGATAAAAAATATTCAGAAAACAACAACAACAAACATTGAAAGGAACATTATAAACAACTTCTTAACTAGTAAATAGAACATTTTATAGGTTTTATCAATTGCAATTTATTAAAGTGATATACCCTTTTTAACTCATAAACATATGGAAAGTTGTATACAGTATGTATGTTTGGCTTATGAATGTTCTCGATTAAAGAAATAATAATCAATCATATTTCAGTGTTAAATGAGCTTTTTATATTGATGCAGTTCTGCCATTAATTAGTTTATACTCAATTATCAGATTTCGATTGTGTTGGAAGCTCTCAAGCTTACCCCCGTTCTATGATATAATCAGTTCTAGGCAATGAGTGTAAAGATTTTTGCCTCTGAACGGATTTGAACCCACGCGACCAACAATTCTTAGATTTAAGAAATAATATCGGTCTTAGCGGTGTCTATCGGCTATTTAACACCGGTTTGGAATTTTATTGCGTAGGAATTGACCACGAAGGCCGTAGGCATGAGTATTTATTTTTTTTTGCATCAAAACGACAAAAAAAAAACAGCTAAAAAACACGCACCTGCACGCGCACACGCACACATGCGCGCGCACACAAACACTCGCACCCATGCACGCACACACACACAAACACGCACGCACGCACGCACGCGCGCGCGCGAGCGAGCATACACGCTACAGAATAAAAAGGAATCCAAATAAACAAATAAACAAATACACAAACAATATTAGTTTTTGTTTTTTTACATGAAAACTGTGCAGTTGCTGCATTATTATTAAACGTTTATCGCTGAAATAAAAAAATTAAATCTTGTCATCTGTTTGATGATAAGAATTCCTTTTTGGAGAATTGTAATATTTATCTAGAATGATACCTGAGCGGTTTGTTAGAAATTAATTAAATATGAGAACACTGACCAACAAGTTAAGGCAACGTTAACTTAACGCAGCAGCAGCCAACAATCTCAGACGAGGGGCAAAGAACCAAGCAGGGCACCGAACAAAAATTGGAAAGGGCTACAGGGCGTTGCAAGAATGTGGCGTATCAAATAAATTTATCACAACAATTTATTATGGAAGGAAAAACGATAATAGATAAAAAAAATGATAGCAAGCTTTCAATTGGATTTAGTTTTTGCTCTTTGCAATTTTTCATAGATAAATTTCATTTTAAAAGTGCCATTTGTTTGCTTTTATTATTTCAATCCAGACCGACCATAACACATGCTGCGTGCTGTTTTAGAAATAAAAATAAGAAGCATCAATGGAGATAGATCACAGTAAGTAGGAAAGCAGATATCAAGAATGAAAACTCTTCGCATTATGTCATTGCCCATTGATATTTTCCATGTTTAATTGGCATGGAGCATAAGTATAAAAGAACTTTATATAGAACTTTTATAACTCTTCTCTACATATTTTTCATTATATTATATATATAATATTGCCTTATATGTTTCATGCTCAATTTTTTATCAAGGTTAGAACTCAAACTGTTTAAAAGATATCAACTTTAAACTTAACGACCTTATGTTTGGTTTGTTGCCCCTTGTAATGTATTTAATTGTCAATGTATGAACGGACCATCCTATTACCTGTTCGACAGGGGATTTAGCACTCCGTAACTTCTCCTTGTTGATTTTTTAAATAAAATTACTGTATCAAAGATTGAATCTCAAACGGGATCGAGATCGAGATTATCTGATAAAAACAAAACAAAATACTTGTTTGTTTTGTTTGTATTATAATTATATGCATGTTCATTAAAGCTAAAACGCCTTCCACAGCAGACATGAATTTGTACTTCTTGACCTTTAACCAACCATGACCTTGATGTTGCGCTAGGCATATCATCAGCACATAGTCTCATGATAGTGATTATTTGTGCTAAGTTATTAAAGTCAAAAAATTATGGAGAATATATTACCTTGACCTTGGGGGTAGCAACCTGGATGTTGTGTTCTGCAGATCGTGCATGGTAGGGATCATTTGTGCCAAGTAATTTTAAAATGAAAAGTACCTAGATGTTTTAACATTGGGCCTTTGAAACTGACTTTGACCTTGAGGGTAGTGACTTTACTATTGTGTCATAATGGTGATCATTTGTGTCAAGCTATCTGAAAGCATTGCAGCAGTTTAAATGTTAAGGGGCGGACACGAAATGTACACTTTTTAACACTCGACATTAAAAGTGTGACCTTGACCTTTGGGGTAACAATCCAATTATTGCGCTCTGCACATCGTCTCATAATGGTGATCACTTGTGCCAAGTTATTTTAATTTTTTTTCAGCGGTTTAAATGTTATGGAGCGGACTTGGAAGTGTAACGGACGGACAGACTGATGGACGGACGGAGAGACTGACAGACGGAGACCATTCCTAGAATCCCCTACCCGCTTTGCGGAAGGGGATTAAATATCGCGGATTAGGACGACCACGATCGGCTACATAACTAGGCAGATGTTTGCGTGGCTTAGTCTAAACTAACTGGACGTTTTACAACGAGGGGTGAAAGAAAGAAAAAAACAACAAAAAAAACAAACGCAAGAGCTTCTATTAGCCGCGACATTTTATACAATTTCGACCTAAAATCTCGCGGATTTAAAAGTTGTCCGGAACATTTTATAAACTGAAGGTTATTTTTCTCGCCGCCACTCGCCACATTACAAACATAATTGATAATTGAATTAATTATAGTCAGCTTGTAAGTTATATTCAATCTACAGACATCATAGAAAAATATTAGAAATAAACTTACATAGAACATGTTTGGTGCAAACTACGACGATGTCTCACTAAATTGAACTCCTATTATATAGATAAACAAAGAAATTTCGTTTATTGGCTTTGTTTGAGCATGCCTTAGACATGGTTAATTAGCTTTATAAACTAATCACCAGGTATGCTTATTTATGAGGAATGATTATAAAGAGAAATGAATGCATTTCTAATACTTGGTGGGGACTTAATACATAAATTTTCCTAGGATGTTTTCAAATTCATTATACTTAAATGATTGTTCAGATGCGTATTTATCCATCTAATGATTGGCACGCTCTTATTGTTCAAAGGTTGATATACCAGGCCTTAATTGTTATATGTCTACAGTTATTTATATATAGTGTTGAGCATGCACGATTCTATTTTACTTTTTTATAACAAATACTCGTAATCTATCCAGGTTTGAAGGTTCATGTTGCATCTATTATTATTATTATTATAGTGTTTATGCTCTTGCCAAAAGAGTTTAATTACATCACATGTACATACGTTTAAAGATTAATTAAAATTTCTTTTTCGAAATGGCAAAATATCAATTTATCTTAATCAATAATGTTAATTTTCTTATCAAAATAGTGTGTTTGTTTATAGGATTTTTCCAGCCCAATTGTGAACAGGTCAAGATGCGCCTATTCAAAAAAATACATTTAGTAACGAACCATGACACAAGCCAATTTGAGAATTTGTTAAAAATCATTGATACCAAATTGAAAAGGGAAACAAATCCATATACTAGGTGCTTTAAAGGGACGAAAAAAAAACAAACAAAAACAAACAACAACAACAAAAAACAAACAGCTGTGCATATACGCTTTTGTTTTGTCAAATTAATACATGTTTCACTACATCATCTTTAAACAGCCAAAACATTATTTACACGAACGCGCTAGACAAATAACAATTAGTGACCCGAATGTATAGCCATGCTTTAAGAGCGTCACGTTCCATCTAGCATTTATTAAAAACTATAGGAATTGGTGTTTCTTTTTAACAATAGGCTGAATGCAATATCTTAAAAATGTACTAAAACAACTGACGTTTTGCATAAACATATACAAATTATGCAAGGCAACGTTTTCATTTTGCGCGTCAAAAACTACTCTTATTCATGTGCACGTGAAATATAAGGAGGTCCTTTTGGTTTACTAAACATGAATAATATTATTTTTATATAACGATATATTTTAATTTATTATTTTTGTAAATATTCCAAGCATAAACTTGTTTCTACGAGATACTATGTCGTAATTACAAAAAGAATATACATTTTTTACAGTAAAGGCAGGTTGACAGACACAGACTAATTGCACTATATATGCATTTATACTTTAATATAAAAATACCTGTACAAGTAACAAGGTTATAACTAAAGGTACAAAGACAAATATTTTGTTTATTGTGAACATGTTCTCTATATACAGTGAAAAAAACCCAATAAAAATGTTTACAAATAACAATTCTGTGAAATTTTCAATTAACAAGGGGTAAAAATCCGGCGCACTCTAACAATACAATAAATGACGTTCTTGATGTCGTAAAAGAAATACAAAATGTAACAAGCGCCATTTTTTCTGAAAGTATTGTCGCTAGTTCTCTAGGGGTCTGAATCATGTAGCTATGACCAGGCTTCACATGTGGAGACGAAGCGAAGAAGAACGCCATCACAATTTCGTTCCACTCGAAAAAAATGATATAAAAATGCCCGATAGCCGGCCATTCTCCGCTTTTTCATATCTCGAAACTCAACAGGCATGGACTTAAATGTTAAGCAAATGCGATTTATATAATTAATTCACACATGTAATCGTACGTTTCAAAACAATATGATTATATACAATAAAATAACAACATGATTATATACAGTAAAATAACAATATGTATTAATTGAAAAGTATCTTTTTCTACTAAGCACAGTCTATCAGTTATTTAAATAAAATTGGGGAGAATTCTAATAGTTATTACCGTTAATCATTATTTTATTAATTTATTGATAACACATATATCTAGTTAAATACGATAAAATAATGTTTAAAACAAATGTCTCATATTCAATTCTTTGGTCAGAACTAAATAAGTAGATCCGAAGCAGACATAAAAAATGCCGGACAGTTCGCTTCGTTAACCGCCGATCCGTTTGTAGCGCTTTTGAAATTGACGTCACTAACGTTCCGCCAATTTTCCGCTTTCATCCATGCCCTTTCCTGTTACTAATCTTGTATTCACTATTTTTGAATTGCTTCCGCCAGCTGAAAACAAGTGATCTGATGGTAGGATGATTGTCCTTTGTTAATTAAATCATTTTATATTGATCTGAATGTGTATATCCAATCTGTTGACAATATTTAACGATCGCACAAATTTACAGTGTTTTAACAAATGTCATATTTTTACATTTATCGGTATGACCACTGCTGTTCAAAACTAAATAACTAAGCCATTTCATATCCGAATGGCGTCAAATTTGAACACAATTATATGTAATACATTTATATTTGTAATTCACAGTTGAAGGGACTTGCGTTAAACCTTCAACAAATCTGGACCTAGACTTATTCATGACCACATTTCGAGAGTGAGTTACAAAAGCCGTAATGAAAGGAAATGACAAAAACCAAATCAGCTGATAGTAAATATATCGTGTTTGATCATAGCGCGTCACTGCGTTTTGGAAGATCTCAAACGAACCTGAGACAGAAAGATACACTATTAGTCCCAGAACGAACTAATTCTTACAGCTTACTTTCAAATACAACTACGGCAATTTCAAATACAACTACGGCAATCAGAATAATGACAATTAAAGCATATTTTTACATTTGGTTATTAAAAGTCATAGTTCATTTTTGAACATTTTCAAAATATTGGTTGGAAGAATGTCAAGCTCATATAATTTTGATTACAATTGATTTATCGGCTTTCGTGTTTTATCGTCAGTAAGGTGTTCAAAAATTTCAAATGATTCTACATTTGTTTATTTCTGGTTTGTAGTGGTCGTATGTTTTAACCAAATCTTGCATTTTACTTTTCTATCCATAAAATAGTCAACAAACTTGTCTGCAATCATTAGTAGCGTGTGAATATTTAAAGGTACTTACTAATTCTTCACATATCTGTAAATGCACACACACGAACGCTTGATAAATTATCAAAATAATTAAAACGATACTCTCACATATCAAGTGACTTTCAATATCATTAATATATAAGCTGATAATTCGATTAAAACAATACAAAAGAGTTTGCGACAGATATAGTCCGTTTGTTATTGTTAACATGAAAGGATATTTAGGAGTCGTTTTTGCATGGTACGTTGTTTGTTGTGTTGCGGAACAGCATTGTTCCAAATACCATTATGAGGAGCAACTTTTATCAAAGGTAGTCCGACTGGAACACAAATTAGAAGAGCTGGAGGAAAAAGTCAGTAAAGAAGGTGAATGCATTAATATTGCATTGCATTGTGGAACTTTACAAAGTGTGTAACGAAATCATCTTTTATCTTATTTAGTATATATGAGTCGGATATAAGCACCATTTACGTTTGTTCTGCGACTTTCAATATCCCATGCCTGCATTGCAAAATGTAGAATTGATATCATTCATGAACTACCTGCGTATATGACTCAACAATTATTTGTTGGGCATTTCAGCAAGGGCTTAACCAGAGTCAAGTTTTTATGTAAGAAAAATGGTAGAATGAAAGGTAAAAAAACCCACACATTTTGTCAGAAATAAAGTGTGCGATTCAATCAATAGTGAAACTAATTATATTTCTTAACTTATTTCATTTTACTTTTTAATCTTATGATTATTTGAAAAGCTAGATTTGTTTTCTGTCCCAAAGACTTAGAAGATAAAGACAAGATGTGTACGCAATGCCCAGATGAATGGATCCATTACAAAGGTTCATGTTACGTGATTATGAAGGAAAACTCTTCATTTTATCAAGCGAGAGTAAGAAATAAGAAACAAATTTTCTTGTTTTTGTGTCAAATTTGAAACTATGACTTTTAATGAATTCACTCAGCCTCTTTCTGTATTTTTCTTTTGTAATTAGACGAACTGCGTATCCTCTCATTCAGCACACTTAGATTTAAATTATCGCAAGTAAGGCCATAACGCAATAAAAGGAATAATGTTTTGCTTCCGTAGATGACATATTTATGTCCATAATTTAGAATTGGCCCAAACAATGAAATATACTAGTACCTATGACATTATGCATAAAAATATACTGGATGTCACGTGGTGGAGTTTTGACACTTCTTTAATCAGTTTAAACATGTTTCTGCAGTTGAAGCTAACAGTTTTGGTAATGTAAATTCTTCCAAAAACTATAAATTAATGTTATTTACTTCAAACTTTGTATACATATTTATTGTCATAAGTGGATGCTAATTCAAATTAGCAGATAATCTTAAAATTGTTAAATGTTTCTTACCTTTTGACACTGTTTACAATTTTGTTTGGGATTATTTTGTTGGACACAAACACAGTTCTTATCTTGAATCTTGTTATACATGTTCATTATCAAACTATGTCATCATTTCAAAGGGCATATAATCCTAAAAATGCATTTATGCCCCTGTTATACTTATTTTTTTTTTAAAGACTGTCAAAGTGAATCACAAAAACAACAACAAAAACAACAAAAAACAAACAAAAAAACCCCTAGAATTTTCGTTGACATTTGAAATTGAAATGCATTTCTAAAGGACAGATAAACATATAATTTTTGTATAGTTATTTCCCCTTTCTTAGATTAAATTACTTGTCAAATTACATTTCTCAAAAACTATCGCTTTTAACTTGAAGTACTAGCTCACCATCAAATATGAAATTTTTTATTTCTATTTTATTTCAAAGGAACAGATACTCTTAAAGGCATTTAACCTGAAAGGCATTTTTTCTTTATTATTTCTTTTTTATAACATAATTTGATGTTTTCATATTAAAAATATTAACTCCAGAATATAAAAGTAAAGGGCAGATAAATATGCTAAGCACCTTTGCAGTATTATGCCCCTTTTGTGTATCACGTGCTCCGGCATGCAAGTTAATGTTTCACTCAACTTAAACACATTTTTATTGACTTTCGTGTCTATACGAAAATGCGTGAAAAATTGCTCTAAGGATTGAATCTTAACTATTATTTGATAATGCACAAAATTTAATAAGCTTCATAACAATTGTACAGATTTGACACTTTTGATGTTCTTCATGAAATGTATGCGAGTTCCCTAATTATTTTGTGATGTTAATTTTTTATCCATTTCGTATGACATTGATGTTTTAAAAGCAGATCACTATTGTTAATTGAAAAAAATATAAATTCTTATTACAGTGCAAGTGTCTAACACTTCATGCTGATTTAGTCCAAATAGAAAATGCAGATGAAAACACGTTCCTAAGAAACCATCTAAGTACATTAAAAGGTTTGTACATGTAAAGTTTATTTCCTTAACTGGTTATGTTTGTTATCACTTTTTAGTAATCAAAAGTTTTTATTTACTTAATTTGAATGTCATACCGGGTATGTCCATAACCTTTATTTACTTGTGATGAAATTGTCTTTCTTTGAATTTGAGGTTATTTATGATAATTGTAAGGGACTTAATTGCATTAAGAATTTCAGCGAATAAGTTATACTACCTGTTTCAATAATAATATGAACTATCTATCTGAAATATTAATCCGTCTCACCTAAAAATTTCATTTACAGGTACTGACTTTTGGTTTGGACTCACAGATGCTGATACAGAAGGTGTATTCAAATGGGTTGACGACAACTCGGATGTATCTTTTACGGATTGGAATGAAGGTCAACCTGATGATGGTGGGGGAAAAGAAGACTGTGCACATTTTAAAGGAAGTTACAACCTGAAGTGGAATGACAGTGAATGCCATGCTCATTTTCAGTCTATTTGTGAAATGAAAATCAAAGTTAAAGAAAATAGATAAAAACAAAACAATACCTAAAAACTCTTTAAACTCTTTAACTCAGAATTGAGTTATTACATGTTTATGTTAACATTTGTAATCGCATTTGTAATAACCTGGAACCAGTCTAGAAACACCATTTATCTTTTAACCGCAAAGATGATCTCTTCAATTATTCTGTGCTTGTATTGACTGGTTGCTCATGTTTTGCTATAGAAATCTTGACTTGTAAGTCAAAGAAAACTCAAATGTTATTCAACATTTTGTTTTTAAATATGATATTTTATTTTGTTACTGTGTCAGAAGATCATCACATAGTTTTTTTTAAAAAGTATACTTTTATAAAACAATTATCAATTACAAGACATGAACTGAAGTCTGAATAAATGTCATTTGCCGATAAAATCCACGTATTGTCTTTCCAAACGATGACTTTTCTTCATGGGTTTAACTGCATATAATGACAAATCAACACCTGAGATATTTTCTTCTTTTGCTGAAGAATGTATTTTGGAGTTAAATTGGTTGATATTCACAGTAGTATTCAGAGCTAACGGGTCTTTTGATATTCACTTAGCTTTGAAATAAGTAATAAATGAATCTATTTACAAGTAAAAGATTAAATTGAAATATGCACAGCAATTCAATTTTACTTTATTTTTTTTTAAGCACGTTAGTAAGTAGGGGGTTTGGGGTTTTTTCAGAATATTTTTCACTACACCCGGAGAAAAGGGTTTTATATGAAAGATTTTATCTTTAATTTTTTTTTTTGGGAATTTACAGGGTATTAAATTTGCAAATGTCTAAGAAAAGAAAAAATTTGATCCATTTAATTTTTTTTTTTCTTTATTTCGAAACATTAAAATTTTTGTAAGGGTCGAAAATAACCTATAAGCTTTTATACAAAAAGCTTGATAAAATTTGAAAACAATTTTAAATATCCCTTTAAATTTTTTGGCCAAGAAAAATAAAGGCCTCCTGTTTTTATGTTATTACTTTTTCGGAAAAGATAAACCCTTTTAAAAGTTTTTAATATAAAAATTCAATAAAAAAAAACATATATTTTCAAAAGGGAAAAAACCTTTTTTAAAGCTTCTCTTTTATATATGATAGTGTGTTATGTCCGTTTTTTGTAAGTCGGAAAGAATACTGAAGGACTATCACTTTTCAAGATAAGAGAAATAACCCATCTGGCTTCGCTGTTATGGTACAATGTTTTTTCCCTCCCCTAAATCTTTAATGTAATTCTGTAGTTTTGCAAAAAAATGCAACAGTAAATACTTGAAAAAAGATGTTTTATATTTGAAACACTTTCAATAAATATGTAAATCAACCTAGGCTTATCGTATCGCAAATATTTTAACAAAATTCAGGATTAAAAAGACTTGCAAACACAGGAGAATTGAAAATTTGAAGCGGTTGATGCGGGAATAAAAATTTTTAAAGGGAAAAAATTGAATGCTGGGGAAATTTTATGTACAAAGTAAATTTTAGTTTTTTTAACCCTAATATGGGTTTAAAACCTAAGACGAGATGGATACCAAGAAAATAAAATTAAAACCTTCCCCTTCAAAAGGTCAATTTAAAAAGGGCCCTTTTTAAAAAAAAACTAAAAAAGGTCATTAAAACTATGATAAAATTTTTGTTTGAAATTTAAATTATTTTTTAAAAAATAAAATTTGATTTTTTTTTTTAAAAATGAGATTGGCCCGAAAATATAACGTTTTTAAGGGCCAAAGGTTTAATTTAAAGCAGTTTTTTTACAGTCTTTTTTACTGGCGCTTTAATTTATAAGACTAAGTTTAAAAAAAAATCTTTTTTTAAATTTTTTGTTTTGTTTATTGATTAATTAAACAATAATTTTAAAAGATTCAAACCCCTTTTTTAATAAAAATTAACCAAAAAAATAAAAAATTTCGTAATAACAAAATTAATATTTCGTAATTAACGAAACCAATATTTCCGTAAAAACGAATTTCAATATTTTCGTAAAATTAAGATTTTATATCTCGTTTAAAACGAAATAATATTTCTAATTTTGGGAAATTATTATCTCGTAAAACCAAACTCAATTCCGGGAGAAAGTGTGGATAAATGTCACTTCAGGTGTTCCGTAATTTTTCAAAATTAATTAATGCAGCAATCATTTTTTTAAGTTGTTTTCATTTTTTTGTTTTCATATATTTTGTGCACTTATTTTTGGTATTTAAAAATTATTATTTGAAAGATTTTTTTTGAAAATGTCAAAAAAATGTACCATTCCAATGCCAATAAACACAACACAAAACCGAGACAAAAAAAGTGTTTTAAAATATATATACTGCACCCCTCACCCAAAAAAAAAACCCAACAAAAACTACCCCCCCCCCAAAAAAAAAAAAAAAAAAACAGTAGGTCTTAAAAAAGGCAACAGTATGGAACCCGAACCATAGACCTCTCACACATCAGTCATCACTTAAAGCGACTGTGGCTAATTGCGGAATAACATTTACATTTTTAGGCAGATATGACTTTCCACTAACATTAATTTTTATAGTTTTTTTATTTATGCTTTTTCAGTGGGATTACTGATTTAATCCGTGATAAATATATTTGATTAATTTGACAGTGAAAATTATCAAAAATATAATTTCACACTTTTCCAATGACAAAACTACTTTCTAAGAATTTCCGCCTGTGGTACTTCAATTTTATTTTTGGCTAACGCTGCTAGTGGGAATACTGTTTTAAAAGCCGCACTCGAATGAATAAAATTCAATCCTAAACACACAAAGCAAGACAAATATCCTCTATATTCACCAATATTAATTCTAAACGTAAATCGGAGTGGAATGTAAAATATTTTCAATGAGTGCTGTAAATGCTATTCAAATAATTGACAGGTAATAAAAAATAAGAACTATACAAAATAAGCAATTAAGGCTGCGTGTACAAACAAAATAAAATATTGTTGTTCCAACATGCAAAAGCGGGTTAAAGTATGCGCAAAATCACCACAAAATATTTTTAAAGGCGACATGTGACACATTATAAAATTTATCTATAAGATAAAATATACCACCTTTATTAAGCCTTTTCTCTGAAACTAACTAAAGACATAATTATTACATAATTGCACGTATTTAAAAAAAATGAAAAAAGGCAGTACAAATTTTTAAGAATATAAGCTTGTAATATGTTTATCCTTCTTAAAACATTATCAGGATCAAACAAATATCTACGACATTATGGCTCTATCTTAATCTATGAAAGTTGTTTTCTGTCTATATTCTGTACCCCAGGTTTATATATAAAATGTGTTAATTGAGTGTTGAGCAAACTAGGTAAAAAATATCCAACTTACAAATTTACAATCCTACTTTTTAAATGGTTACAACAACGTTTCTGTCCCATTCTTTTATAAAATGTGTCACTTGCTGAAATGTAGAAATTAATATAGAGCCGTTTTTCAGCACATTGTGAACATTACACATGTATGCTGCATGTAAGTTTTTTGTGTGTTGTTTTGTTTGTATTTGTTGTTTTCCGCCGAAAATAATTTCTGCATAATTCATTTTTAGATTCAATTATAACTGCATTAAGGTATACGATGGATAATCGATAATATTAAAATGTCGTCTTAAACTTAGAAGTGTATATTTATCACATTCTTAACAAAAATGAAAATACAGAAAACAACAAATGTTTACCATCTTGTTTAGAAATAAGTGGCGATTTAATTTGAAATTTAAAGTTAAAGTTAAAAACAACAACAACAATAACAACACCATATTTTCATCGAGTCATAAAATGTCTGAAACCTGGAGATTGTTACGTGTGCTTGCTATACCATGGCAGCTCGCGAAAATTTTGGAATTCAATCTCGGTTTTGGGAAAATTCTACAAGAAGATTATCACATCATTCGATATACATTAGAATAACGGGTACTATCCAATAAAATTCCAGGATCTCTTAAAGTAACAGCAATGTTATCTATCAATCTCGGTTTTGGGAAAATTCTACAAGAAGATTATCACATCATTCGATATACATTAGAATTACGAGTACTATCCAATAAAATTCCAGGATATCTTAAAGTAACAGCACTGTTATCTATAAAAATATTACTTAAATCGAGTAATATTTCCTTTGACCATATATAAAAGTCACGTGGGTTGGCTACATAATAGAGGTGTTAAAATATAATTGTAATACATCCTTTGTTAGCAATTGAAATAGTATTTAATGTATAAAGGACTTTCAAAAATGGTTATTATTCAGAGCGGGCGCTATGGTGCAGTGGTAACACTGTCTGCCTACAAATCGGGGGGTTTACCCCCCCCCAGAAAGAAAAAAAGACTACAAGCTGACAAAACAGGAAACGACACAGGCATGACGGCAACGGTAGAACAAAAAGAAGACCTTTTAAGGGGAAAAGGAAACAAGTACCAAAAACAAGAAAGAAGACGACACGATAACAGAAGGAAAAACGGAGAAAAATGACAACAACGAACAGAGACGGGAACGAAACAAAAGGGAAGAGAAGGGACCGTTAACAGAAAAAGGGGCAAAAACGAAAGAAAATGGACCGATCCAAAAAAAAATGACAACAAAAAAGGAGACCCAAGATTTTTTACAAAAATCAGAAAAAACCCATACAAAAAATGCCAACAAAAAACAAAACGCGACCGATAAAAGAAAAATTGACAGGGGGGCGATAACAGAAAATGACAACAAGCAACAGACAGGACCGAAAAAAAGAACAAAGAAAAGGGCCCTAGAAGAACTGAAAAAAGAAAGGAGAAAGGAAAATAACAGATAGGACCAAGAATAAAACGGAACGTACAAAAGAAATTTAAAAAAAAGGGATAAACGATTAAAAAAAAAAAGGACAAAAAATGGAAAAGAAAAAAAAAGGAACCCAGGGAAATTTAAAGGAAACGAAACGAAATGGTCAGAACAGCGACAACACAAGGAAAGAAACCAACCCAATAAGAAGAAAAAAGTCCTAATAAAAAGAAAGGAACTCAAAGACCTTAAAGTAGAAGAGTAGCCAATTCAAAAAAATCAGAAACCAAAGAAAAAAGAAGAAAAGCCGTTTAACCAAAAAAGGTAAAGAAAAGGGCCTTTTAATTAATTTTTTTTCATCCATTTTTAAAACCCCCCCCAAATTCATTTTCAAATTTTTTAAATCTTTTAAATAGCCCCTTTTGTTAAAAGTTTAAGTAAAAACACAAATTTTTTTAAAAAAGGGGGGAAAATTTTGGGCATTTTAATGTCTTTCAATGGTCAAGATCAAGTTTTTCAATTTGGTATCCACCTTTATCGGATTCAGCATACCTTAAATAGGTAAAATACACCAAGATACCACTTGTACTACAAAATGCCTCTAGCATCTTATAGAGAGCCAAATTCTCAAAATCAGTCCTGTCTAATATAAGCAATTTGTCTGCTAAAATTGTTTACCACTTTTACTGGCCCGAGTAATTATACACCATTTTCACTTATGTAGTAAGATCGCAATGCGGATAGATGTTTAAAACGCTTTTGTCGACCAGTTTCATGGAACAGTGTCTTTGTCACATGCCAATGTGAAGTTGCCAGATCCCGGATAACTAATCGGCCCTTACTTGATATTTTCGCCACCTTATCAAATACTCAAACTTTCTGATTCAAATTCCGTAGTCAAATCGTGTTGGAAATTTATCAAAATCGATTTAAGTGCTTTCAAAAACCATGGCGTAATGGTATAATAGCCGTATAGGCGTATCAATAAAAATGACTCGATCTAATTGTAAACAGTAATTATTTTTTGATAAATAAAATAATATATTCGTGTATATTCAATACTAATTTTATGAACTCGTTGAATAAAAAACGGTATTATGCTCGCTAGAAGCGTCCTCTATAAGATATTTGAATGATCGTCATCGAGCTAAAATAAAATGTATATAACATAGGGAAATATTACTATCTACATTTCCTATCTGATGAATAAACTCTGTCAGTTTACCTCTGAAGTATTTTGTGAGATACAAGAAAATCGTACTTTTTTGTAATCAAAACGATAATTGTAGTCAATACCTATGCCGCTCTTTGTTAGATTAAACAACTTATGTTCGCTAAATATTATATAATTGATGACAGGTTTATTTTTTCATACTAAGAAATTAAATTTAAGTTTTAAAATTCATGAAATTCATATGAAATAAGTTGCGGTAAAGTATTTGTAAATCCATTGATATTACTTTTAAAGCTGTTTTCAGTTTATTGATCTTAATTAAATAAATAAAACATGAGTTTATTTGCCTTCATTATTATAACTCAAGCGTTAGATACTGCCCATCGTCTGTGGTTAAAACTCTCGACAAGAAATTCTACACGAGATTTATCAAGCAGTGTTAGAAATTATATAACTATTATATCTCAGTTGACTACGAAAAGTAGAAATTCTGTTATAAGACCAAATCAAATGAACAAGATTTATTTTACACCAAACATTTCTGTTAAGTGAGACGAGTTGCTTAAAAAATTTGATAAATTCCTTGATAATAACTGACGACTTTTTTCAAATATTGGTCATTTTGATTCAAAATTTATAGTCAGTGGATAATGTAAAGGCGAATTAGTTAATATTATGTATGCAATATTTTTAATCAGCAAATTAAGCTTCCAGTAACTATTTTGTTTTAAAACATTCTCTTGGGCAACTCTAAAAAAAGATAAGTGGCAAGGATTAAAGGGCGTTATGTGTATACATTTTTCATTTCTGATGACTATTATGTGTAAGTACGATTCATTGCAAGTCATGTATAAATGACAAATGTAAAAGGAGGTTAATGCCATATTCTTTATGTACAATATGTTTTAGGTAACTGTCTTAGTTTTAATTATTATCTAGTAGGTCGACTCTGGAAATTAATCACTTGTTTAGATCAAACACCATCTCTAAGAATTTTGTTAAAAGGGTTCGTTATGTGTACAAGTCAAAAACTAAAATAGAGGAAAACAGGATAAATATTTATGATAAATGGTAGTTTTCGGTAGAGCGGTATAGAATCTTCATGTTCCTAATATTTTGGGGATGTGTGTCCAATAGAAAAGTTTTAAATTTGCAAAAAGGATGACATACTCCTTAAGGTACCTTTTTTGTTACCTGTACCTATGACCTTCTAAGTGTCGTTATTTACATAAACTTCCTTATTTGTCGAGATAATAAAAGCTTTCTTTAGTGTCTTACATGTGCCAAAATACTTTTAAAATGTTCCTTTGTAATATATTTTAAAGTTTCTGATGAAAACATAGTGATAGTATTTGGTGGTAATCTTTTGTTGTTTAAGAGCCTGATTGTGACAAGTGATATGTTACTTGTTTGGTGAACTGTTGCACTGAAGCCATTAACTTAACACAGTTTTACATATTTATAGGTACAAATATTGTCCGCCTTCCTCTTTATTTCTTATAATAAGCGTTTCAGCAATATTTGTCACGATGTTTGTTAAACTGAAACCCAAAATTAACAGTGTTTGCAAAAACTTTAAAAATTTGTTTTATTCTTTTTCTTCTTTTTCTTTTAAAGGCCAATTATGCTTTCAAATGCATCAATTTTTATTTCTCAAATTTAAAGGGTATTAATCTATATCATTTGAGATATTTTTATGAAATTTATCAAAAGTAAAATTTTATTGGTTCCATTATTATATAGTTGTTTCTCGAAAAAGTTGTAACATAGAATGTCTCTGTTATTTAACACACATGGATATTGTACGTAAACAGAAAAAAATGTTTCGGAACAAAATATTTTTTGCCATTTTAAGTAGGGTTTAATCCGTTTAGCAATGATTTCTTGCATGTGTCATTAGCTTTTAATGCAATTATCTACCATGTTTATTCCATACAACAAGCATTTTGGAAGTATTCTTTCTTAAAATCTAAACAATAATTTTTGCAGCAAAGTGTTCTCTTATAGTTTCAAAATAGTTATTCATTGTCCATATTTCTGAACCATTTTAGTTTTTGTATCTGTTGCTCGTTTGCAATTAGTAATGTTGTAACTAAAGTGATTTAGTATTTTGTTTGGAAGTTAAAATACTACAGTAACTTTGTTTACATTTTTCTACATTAATGACAAATATTTCTGTCTTCGGCGCTACTTTCTTCAAGTGAAAAGCATGCTCTTAAGTCATTATTTAAACGTTATAAAACTTATGTTTGCCCTTCCTAAAGAAGTTAAGTTAAAAATTCATTCATTTCTAAGGCATAAGGTGCCTTTAAAATAAACATATTTTTATTGAAAATAAAGTAAGTTTGGAATTCTTTTATTCTTAGTTGAAAGAACTTATATATATGCACGGATGCAATATTCATTTATTTACAAATAAGAATTATAAATAACCTCTTTGTGCATACATATAACGATATAAAACCAACGGTCAAATTTAATTTTAACATTCTCTCTGATACCATCACTTCAACAAGTATTTTAATTAAGAGTTTGTCATTAAAATAGAAGAGTTCCACAATCACATAACTAACGTTTGTAGTCTAATAAGTTTGTTTTACTTTTCTAAAAACTGAAAATATAAAAAAAATATATTCTAATAATTTATGAAAAGACAAGGCACATACTATTATTGTGAAAAACCTTTGGCTAGTTACATTTGCACGCACACTTTTATTAGTTGTATGATGTTTATATACCCGAAGACCTTCGAGACGTATTCTTAGGTAATGCCATTGAAATTTTAGGTGAAATTATTGGTTCCCGCAAAAACAAATTTGAAGGATTTTAGTGACTCAAAATGCTATATCAAAATAATAGGTGTGTTCGATTTTCAATGCAACCAATTCATCAGGGAAGATTTATACCCGCTTTGTTTCTAAAATCATTGGTTAAAATGTGTTTTTATTTGACTTGGAAGAGTATAGTCAAGTTTTATTTCCTCAAAATGCTATATCAAAATAATAGGTGTGTTCGATTTTCAATGCAACCAATTCATCAGGGAAGATTTATACCCTCTTTGTTTCTAAAATCATTGGTTAAAATGTGTTTTTATTTGACTTGGAAGAGTATAGTCAAGTTTTATTTTCTCTGCAATCAACTTATTGCAACCTTAATTTAATTGATTTCTTTTTATCAAAATAAAATCAAGACAAAATGTTAAATTATTTTAACTTATTACTCAGAACTATTTGACATTTGATGGAAAAGTCATAATATGAGCCATTTGTAATATTACATATGTTAAATTGTAATTATTTTATCATCACTTAAAGCAATTTTTATCCATAAAACCTTCTTGCCATCGGGAGAATAGTGCCGCCTCTTCCGAGGAGCTTTTTTTATATATTTTGTGCATATTTGTAAATTGAAGCGTTATTTATCTTTACTATTTTAAACATGTTTAAAAATACATGTTTAAAAATGTCACACAGTTTACATGATTTTATAAGGAAGACAAAGTTTATCATGTAGAACAACAAGAAAATTTCTTACGTTAGTATTTATTTACCGAAACAATTTCGTAATGTTTAAATGCATCCACTCAAATTATAAAAAATGTTTTTTGGGAGTTTCTGTTGAAGAAGATTAATGATGTTACACTTGTGCACCACGTGTCATATAATAATATATAAGCTGAACATCACAAAAGAACTTTGCTTCAGAATAAGTCTACAAGTTTAACATGAAAGGAAATTTTGGAGGCCTTTTTGCGTTGTGTCTTGTTTGTTGTGATGCGACAGAGCAATGTTCCAAATATCATTATGAAGAGTAAATTTAGATTTTTGGAACACATACTAGAAATGCTGGAGGAAAAGTCAATAAAGAAGGTATTGTATTCATTATATTTAATAACAATTGCAAAGTTGTTAACTTTAAAAGTCTATTACTAGATCAGTTTTTTACCGACCATTTCGTGACTTTCAATATTGCTTAGTGTGTAATAACGCAAATGGCTTGATACACATATGAAGCTAATAGTGTAACGCTAACATTAGCGCGCTTTTACGCTAAGTTTGTACATTACGCAAATGGCGTCACGTAAACTTGTTATCAAACTAGTGTCATATCGTTTTTAACGAATTGGTTTATTACACCTTCGTGACATGGTTTTTAAAAGAACTACAATCGAGTTGATAAATAACCCACAATTTGAGTACGGAATAGGGCCCGTAAGTCTCGTTTACTTTCACTTTCGATTTACCACTTCCGGGTACATCGGCAGACTTATTTACCGTTACGCATATAGGTAACCCGAAGAACTCGAGGGATATAGAAGTTAAATTTGTTTCGGTCCTCTTCAGATTTGAAGGAATGGATAGCACGGGTCAAAAAATGCAGGTAGGTCAATTATTTGACGGAAAAACGAGGGATTTATAGAGTTTAATAAAAACTAGTTTTTATTTTCGGATAGTGACAATTGTTTCGGAATGTTTTGTCAAGGTAGTGAATTCTAGTTGTTTAGCTTTTAGTATTGTTTTAAAACTACTGATGTGAAAAATTAATTCAAACCATTTTAACTTATTGAAATAAACAATGGAGAAACACTTTAATTCTAGTGTATATTAAAGTTATACAAAATTCGGACATTGCACAGTAATTCGGATATTTTTTTCCCTTCCATTTTATTATTGTTCCTTTTTCAATTATATATACATGTTAATATGGTACCTAGCAAATTATGATTGAATTAAAAAATATAATATTTGATTAAACCATTTCAGATGTATAGACAAGGAGGTATATGACAAGTATAGAATATACAGTTGTTCAATATGGACCATTAATCAACTGTTTGCACTGCCTATGATCCTGAAATATCTATACATCAAAGGTAAATACATGTAAAATAATTGATTAATTTTTAGTTGAGATCGGAAAGATAAACAATAATCAAAATATATTAATAACTTGGATTTCACTGCATGATAATTGATAAGTAAATAAAACATGTTGTGTGTTGTTGTTTATCTTTAATGTTTATTTACTTCAAATATGAAATTTTTCTGTCAATCATGACCAGCTTATCAAATGTAATGTTAATATCATTTCTAGTGTCTTACACTTGTAACAACATATTTATTGATTTTTCATTCTGCAGATAAAAAGGGAAAAGATGAAGGAGGATTTGTCCATGAAGACCTTTATTGCAACTACCATCTTCCAGTTCATTAATTTGAGAATGATATCAGAGAACACACGGTTACAGTGAAATATAAGTTTAATATAAGCCACTGAGAATAGTCAAATGTACTTTCCTGAAGAAGATGAATGACATCCAGCACAAAAATCTTAATGTATAAAGAGTATGATTTTATGGTGTTTGACACTATGATCTTGTTAACATGTTAATGTCACAATGATAGAAACAGAGTAAAATATCCACATTTCATTGCAGTTTTAAGTATTAAAACTAGATACTCTATATATACCAAAGCTGATAACACACCAGAGATAAGTTTTTTCATGGAATCACAGTATAGTCATATGACATTATGGACATTAAATGACTATGAAGTAAAGATTAGCAAAAACATTATATATCATCTACTACTAATATTGTGAGGTAATCATTGATAAGCTCACAAATTTGCATTCAAAGCTTTGATATCAAGCTGAACATTTTTCAATTAGAATATGATTTATAACTCTATGATAATTTGTTCATGTTAATTTTCAAAGTCTTTACATTTGTAAAAGGACATATTCTTATTCTTGTATCAGTAGACATTCACAGTGTAAAGTTACATTGTCCAAATAACTAATAATAATTCCAAGTGCTTTCCTGAAGTTTTTGTTGCACTGGAAAATCAGTGTGATATATATGCTAAGCAGTGCACTATAAATTGTGTGAAAAATAAAAGTTCATTAAACTTATGAACTGTTTTTTGTTTCTACTATTTGGCATATATTTATAGCAGTGCTTGATCATAAGAGTTCATCTGCAAAATAAGTGTCACTGTGTACTTTAATTCTCTAACAGCAATGGCTAGATTGCTTGAATATGCAAGCATTGACTATATAAAATACTATGCATGTCATTTGAATTTTGTCTGTCCTGAAATCGAAACAGACACTATCTAAATAATATTGATGAAAAGTTCTTGACAGCTCTTCAATAACTACATTTACACATATGTACATGGACAGAAGTTAAAAGCATTGTGTGGTGTTTTTTTTTTTTTTTTTTTGAAACATTGACAATTTTGAAACAGTTCCAATGGGTATATTAATGTATCAGTGATGTAATTGTTTTGTATCAAGTGCAAACCCTAAGTTTTGCATGTATTGTATAGATAATTCACTTTTAGTCAAATGTCAACAGGTTCAATACATTATAAAGCAGGTAATTTGAAACCCAAAGAAGTATATGGTATGTAATAACTACCCCTCTGATACTATTTAAATCTTCAAGGAATGCAGAATTGCAAGTCTTCTCCAATTAAGAGAGGGACTTGGGCTTACAAGGGCTAGCAAGCTAGTGTTTTGGTACAGAATACTCAACACAGATGAATTGCATTAATATTGTTTACTCTGGTATTACTACCTGCCATGTACAATGCAAATCATAGCTTCTCTAAGAGCAGTGAAAGGCTATAACTGGAAGGAATTTTACACATCTTGCCTCAGAAACAAGTTTTACTTTGAGATGATTTTTATGATATTTAAATAATGGTTAAAGATTACATTACTTTTACAATTGCAGTGATCATGGTGATAATATGAAATGAAACTCAATCAAGATAGAAACATTTTAATGCTGAACATTTATCTTTTTTACCATTCCTGTTACTTTTACAAGTCTATTTATATCAAATTTATCTTAACTTTTTGAAACTACATGGTGCCTGGTTGAAACTCTTTTGGGCAGCCATTTGCAGAAGATAAATTATCTTTGAATAATTAAGTTAATACAAAATTACAAATGACAGGTTAATTATTTCTAATAAAGACAGGTTATTTATTTCTAACAAAGACAGATATTTTGTTTAACATTTTTACACTGACATATATCTTTGAAGTGTCTTCAACCTTCTTTTTTTATTAGAATACAAACATTCAGTCAGACAGTTTACACAAGACATGGAGCTTTAAGAAGCTTTAATTAAGTCAAAATCTGTAATGGACTGCCATGTCTCTACCACTATGTACTCCAAGACTGTGTGTGGACATTTCCTTTCAACTATGCCTGGTGCCAGGTGGTATCACTATTTGATTTCTAATCTGATGGTGAATACTCAAAAATAAAGCCATGACAATACTCAAGATCCAACCAAAAATCACATACCTGTATATAAAGAAAATTTATCATGAGTTGAAAAGCAATAATAATTGGTCAGCTATAAATTTCAATCATTTTCATATTGTCATGAATAGAAAATAATGTTGAAAAGGAAGAAACACTTCTTGGTGTCCTAGTTTTTTAGATTTGCTTTGACAACTGATCTTTAAAAAAATGTGATAGTGACTAAGTTCTTTTAACCATTTACTGAACCTGATTTAACTAAAAAATATGACCCACTCACTTGTGAAAATACTTTAAACAGTAATTAACATGAATTAACTACATATGCCATACTGTTTGTTTATTTAGCTACACTGTAATTATTTACAAAAAACGAAAACATTATATGTTATACAAATAATATTTATTTTTCATTAATGTAGTTTAAGTAGCTTTAAGTATATATTCTTACCAAAAACGATTTTACAGCAGAGCATGCATGTGTATTTACAAATGGATACTGACGTCTTTCATCTCACCACTGTCCTCAGTCTAAATATCTACAGGAGCAAAATATTTCATTGAATTTTATGACAATTTAAATTGGTTATATACAGCTTGACTGTTTGTGCTTTATAAAGATAATAATTACAAATAAATAATATTTTCAGTTGGAAGAAAATATATTCAACTAAAACACACTGATAATCATATTGAAACGTTTATCCGAAATATGCGCTGTCCGAAATTTCTAAACATTATATACTTCTGAGAGATAATCAGGTAGCGCTATAGCAATTGATAAAATCAAATTCACCAGTCTGGTGTCAGATGCGAATGATGTTACATATCAAAAAATAAAATTTATTAGATTTACATGGAAATGAAAATATTACAACATTTATTGGGATAAACTGAATTTGAAATGACACACCCACCTGAAGATTATACGAAGTTGTCTTTCATTGATACTTGTTCACAAGATGAAACCATTTGCATTTCGTTACAAAACAAAAAACTCTGCCAATTTCCACATATCATTTGCTTTTCCATGTAAGTTTTACTTTCCCACCGGCATACAAGTATTACCCAATATAGATAAGCAATGTTGTTGATGTTTGTTTGTACCCGGAAGTGCAAAATATCGTGAAATCTCGCAAGTCACATGACGAGACTTACATACCCTATTTGAATTAGAAAGTAAGATGGCGAAAATAACAAATAAGGGCCGATTACTTATCAGGGAAGTGGCAACTTCACGCTGACATGTGACTGAGACACTGTTCCACGAAACTGGTCAACAAAACGTTTTAAATTTATATCCGGATCGAGCTCTTACTACATGAGTGGAAATGATGTTTAATTACCCGGGACAGTGGTAAACTATTTTAGCATTCAAATTGTTTAAAACTTCAATTAACCATTAAATAGTCAATTCTCCTTCTTTAAAGATTGAAGGGAGGGAAAAACATTGTATCATAAAAGTAAAAACAGATGGGTTATTTCTCAAAGTGTTAAACCTACAGTATTATTTCCAAATAACAATAAAAAAAAAAACCCAAAAAAAAACAACAACAACAAAACAAGGGACACAACATACTGTTTTATGTAAAAAGAAGCTAAAAAGGTTATTTCCCTTCGAAGATAAATGTTTTATATATTGATATTGTCTTCACGAGTGGTGATTATTAACCAATTTATCTTAAACTACATTCTTCAGCAAAAAGAGGAGAATAGCTCGCGTGTTGATTTGTCATAATATGCAATTGAATCCATTACATGCATAATAGTCATAGTTTGGAAAAACAATACGTGTATTTAACGACAAATGACATTCATTCTGAATTCAGTTCATTTCTAATAATCAATAACTGTTTCATTAATGTAAACAGTACATTTATTAAAAAAAAAACAAAAAAAAACAAAAATAACAACAACAAAAAACATCAATATGTGATGGCCTTCTAACGCATGGTTTACTGTATCGATATAAAATTCTATATTATTATAGAATCCTGTAATACATTTGAATTTTTCCTTGACATTCAAGTAAGGACTTCTAGAGCAAAACATGAGCCAATCAATACAAGCACAGAATAATTGAAAATATCTTTTTTGCGTCGTGTATCTAAACTGTTTAAAATTATTCAATATGCGATTACAAATGTAAACAAAGCATGTAATAACTTAATTCTGAGTTAAAGTGGTTTTAGTTATTGTTTTGTTTTTATTTATTTTCTTTAACTTTTATTTTCATTTCACAAATAGACTGTGAATGATAATGGCACCCTCCGTCATTCCATTTAAGATTGTAACTTGCTTTAAAGAATGCACAGTCTTCATATCCCCTACCATCATCAGGTTGACCCACACTCCAATCCGTAAAAGATGCCTCCGTGTTGTCATCAACCCATTTGAATACACCTTCTGTGTCAGCATCTGTGAGTCCAACCCAAAAATCAAAACCTGTAAATGATATTTTTAGGTGAGAGGGATTAATTTTTCAGATAGATAGTTTATGTTATTATTGACACCGGTAGTATAACTAATTCGCTGAAATTGCAGTCTGACCAGGCTTTACAATTTTCATAAAGTATATCTTATTTGCTGAAATTTGAAGATAAAAAATAATTGTAGGATATCACACAAAATATATACTTATTTCTATGTTTAAGTTTTATCTCTTGGTCTTATGTGTAGTGAATTGACCCATTTCGTTAAAACCTGAACCCACAATAGCAATAAGTGCACTCTGACCAGTCCATATGCTTCAAGTGGTTCAATCTATGTATATTAATTTGCATGGATGCATTCAAATTTAAATCAGACAAATCCGGCATAGGTTGATAATGGTTAAGGACATATGACATTCAATTTAAGTTCTAAACAAACATTTTAATGACTAAATAATGATGATAATATACATGACCAAATAATGAAAAAAAACTTTACATAAACTTACCTTTTAATGTACTCAGATGGTTTTTTAGGAACGTGTTTTCATCTGCGTTTTCTATATGGACTAAATCAGCATGAAATTTGAGACAATTGGCCTGCAATAAAGATTCATGATTTTTCATATCAAAATAGAGAATTGGTTTCAAAAAAAACTTAGGCTAACTAAAATGGATAACATGGAAACATTCCTCTCAAGAATGAATTAGGTGGGAAACTCTCAAGGATCATTCATTTAAAAAAATACAATCAAAAGGGGAATCAAACTCATTTAGTTTAGATCCAATCTTCAGAATGATTACTATGTTTCAAGCATTTTCATATACACTTATGTCCAAGGATTGTCCCTTAGTCTAATTGTGTCTTGCAACATGAAAATTTGACAAAGCGGAGTTAAACAATAAAGCGCGCATCTGATCATGTAATTTCAGGGTGTCATGGTTACGTATGTGTGATCTTAATTACCTCTCTTGACACGCATCTGCTCAGATACATGAGATCACTTTTGAACTCACATTTAAATTTTGTCACATTCACACGTAAACACGTTTTAGCTGGATATAGCGGCGTCAAATAGACAATAAAGTGACATGCAGTTTAATGCCATGCATGTGTTTAATATCCTTATTGGGTCATTATACAGAATCAGGTGCAGTTTCCGCTGTTACGTTTTTTAACAGTAGAGATTTTAAGACGATATTAAAGAATAACAGTCTTCTGAATTTACATATGGATAACAAAATTACAGAAAGAGAGTAACGTGAACTTGACTAAGTTCATAAATTTAAGAAATGACAACAAATGAAAGTTTAAAGTATCAAATTTACTTACTCGTGCTTTATCAAAAGTAAGTTTTTTCTCCGTAATCAAGTAAAATGAACTTTTGTATTTGATCCATCCATCTGCGCATTGCGCACGATCTTTATTTTCCATGTCAATGTTGCCTTTGGGAAAGAAAACAAATCTAGCATTAGAATTACAAGTAAATTCAAATATGTGCGTATAAGAAATACGTGTTTTTTATCTCCATCCATTGAACCAGACACATTACCGTTTATAAAATGAGTGTTAATAAGTTAATAAATATGTTATCAATTATATTATTTTTTATATACAAAGGTTTGACTTATGCCGGTTCTTGGCTGGACAATGTTGACATAAACTCAAAGTTTTCAATCTTTTGCAATGAGATCATTAAATATTGAAAGTCACACAAAAAAAAGGAAATCGGTAAAGTAAAACAGTTCTTAAAAAACAACTTTGCAATAGTCATTAGATATAATAAATAAATTACCTTCTTTACTGACTTTTTCCTCCAGCATTTCTAGTCTGTGTTCCAGTCGGACAACCTTTGATAAAATTTGCTCCTCATAATGATATTTGGAACATTGCTGTGTCGCAACACAACAGACAAGACATAATGCAAAAATACCTCCAAAATATCCTTTCATGTTAAATGAACTTGAAAGATAATGTCGGAAGCACAGTTAGTTTGTGTTGTTTTAATAATTGTTCAGCTTATATACTATTAAATGACACGTGGTACACATCATAAATCTTCTAAACAGAAACGCCCCACTGTTTTATTATTTGAGTGGTCGATTGTTGCGTGTGCATTAAAACATTACGAAATTGTTTCGATTATACTTACGTTAGAAATTTTCTTGTTTTCCTACATGATAAAATTTGTCGTTTGAATCTATTTTATAATATTATGTAAACCGTGTGACATTTTTTTAAATGTATAATTATTCATGTTTAAAAATGTAAAAGTTAAATAACGTTTCAATTTACAAATATGCAGAAAATAAAAACAAGAGCTTCGCGGAGGAGTCGGTAATATTAGCCCAATGGCAAGAATGTTTCATGGATAAAAATGTGTCTAAAATGATGATATGATGATAACAACTTTACAAATGGCTCATATAATGACTTTTCCATCAACGGTCAAATTTTTCTAGGTCATAAGTTAAAATATTGAACATTTTAACTTGATTTCATTTTGATTAAAAGAAATCAATTAAATCAATGTTGCAATTAGTTTATTGCAGAAAAAGTAAAACCTAACCTGTGTTTTCATATTATATACACCAAGCCAAATAAAAACACATTTAAACCAATGATTTTAGAAACAAAGGAGGTATAAATCTTCCATTATGAATTGGTTGCAATGAAAATCGAACACACCTTCTGTTTTGATATAGCATTCTTGCATGTCAAATGTAAAACAGAGTCACTGAAATCCTTCAAAGATGTTTTTGCGGAAATCAATAATTTCACCTAAAAAAGGCAAAAAAGGGACATGGCTCTTTTAATAAAATTAAATAAAAATATTTTATTACAGCTAAACTCGAAATTCACCTGAGTTTTTTTATGTAGCATACTTACATGCCCAACATTAACACAATAATTGAAATCCTTCAAATATTAATCTACAGAAATATATTCTACTAAAAAATAATTTAAATGGTGCATAATTCAATAACAATGATTAAGCCAAAATCGAGTTTGACCTGAGTTTATTCCAAGGTTCTGGCTTGAAAACTTACATGCCTAATATTAACACAGTTACTGAAATCCTTACAAAAATATGCTGCGAAAAATAATTATATACAGACATGCAGGTGGACAGACCGACGCACAATGACATTACCTAAGAATACGTCCCGAAGGTCTTCGGGTGTATAAACATCATACAACTCATATAAATTTGCATGAAAATGTAATTAGCCAAAATTTTCACTACTATCGTATGTGCCTTGTCTTTTCCTGAATCTAATTCTTAAAATTATTCAAGTTTTTTTCTGAAAGTGAAACAAACTTATTAGACCTAAAACGCTAATTGTGTTATTGTGCTATTTTATCATGCAAATTACAAACAATTATTCATATGGCAACGGTATTTGTTTGTTGGTCTACAATTTTCAGCATTCTTCCATTTCAAGACAGATATGAGGGGTAAAATTATCATTTGTTTTTCAAATATACTCCTTTGATAAAAAAAATTGAGTTTGGTATGTTGCTGTAGTCATTTCATTCTACAACTGTTATGGCAATTCATGAAAAGTATAATTGCAATGAATCATGTGACAACAAAATGTGAACAGACAGCTTTTCTTCAGATCTGCATTTACACTACCGTATTAAATCTATGCTCTTGCATATTTACTTACCCTTTCTCTTTTACGAAAAGTTGGTATATATGGGAATATTTCATCTTGAAATTTTCCATTCCATAATTTTCCACAATTCTTAATTTGAAAAGATTTGACACTGAATATTAACAAAAACGTTATGCAAACTTTTATATAATTGTATGACAAACTCTAATTATAATCCTTGTTGACGTGATTGTATCAGAGAGAATGTTTCAATAAATTTAATCGTTGGTTTAATATTATTATATGTATGTACAAGGAGATTTTTAAAATTTTATTTGCAAATGAATGAAAATTGCATCCTTGCATCTGTAAAAGTTCTTGTTCCTATTGATACTAATGGATACTTAATTGAAATAACCAAAATAAAAGTACAAAATGTATGTTTATTTTAAAGGCACGTTATGCCTCGGAAACTGATTTTTCACTTCTTTAGCAAGGTTTATACATTAGGTTTTTTTCACGTTTAAATAATGAATTTATGGCATGCTTTTCACTTGAAGAAAGAAGCGCTGAATATAGAAATATTTGCCATAAAAGTAGAATAATGTTTAACAAAGTAGTATTTTGACTTTCATTTAAAATACTAAATCACTTTAACTGTGCTAATTGCAAACGAGCAAGAGATGCAAAAAATAATTCAGGTGACTGCTCAAGGAATATCTTTTTTTAAAACTATAACAGAATACAAAATTTCAAAAGCTTTTGGGAAATACAACTAAAATTTTTAAACATAATTGGCTTTAAAAAGAAAATAATACGTAGTAGTTTTATCTATCCTTAAAGTCGGTTTTATTTTGTGTTTCAATTTAGCGAACATCGTGGCAATTATTTTTGGCACGTTTATTTACAAATGTTTGGTATAAAAGATAAAAGAGGAAGGAGGAAACTATTGGTACTTTAAATAAGTAAAACTCTATGTAGTCAATGATTTTTGTGAATAGCACACCAAACAACCATAACATATCACTTGTCACAATCAGGCTCTTAGGTCCTAGTCCTAGGATTACCACCAAATGCTATCAATATTTTTTAATCAGAAACATTGAAATATATTGCAAAAGAAAATTTTAAAAGTAATGTTACGCATGTAAGATACCGAAAAAAGCGTTAATTATCTCGACAAATAAGGAAGCTAATGTAAGTAACGAGAGTCTAAAGGTTATAGGTACCTAGCTAAGTATGTCATTTGCACTGACTGCTCTTTTTTCTCGATCTTTTTCAATTCAAGCCCTTACTTTTTTAAAGGACACATATCACCTAATGGAAGATAAATGTTCTTTATCGCTTTACTGGGTTATATTTACTTGTTCTTTTAAAAATGATACATTTTGGACCCGACCTAGATAAAAAGATGGGAAACAAAATCATGAACATTAACTGACTTCAAAATGATGTATTCCAAATATTAACATAATTAGTTTTCCTTTCAGTGTTTAGCAAATAACTTAGTGGTAAAGTTCTTGTTAAATGTTGTGTACCTACAACATGTACAAAAACTGTTTTAAATTGTTTGAGTTTTTTTTATTTCATTTTTTTAATTGGCCTCGTTGTGTGATGAAAGTATGTAGTATTTTAACTTAACTCAGTGATTATGCATGTCGTTTATAGAACGGTTGTATTTGCTATAATTTTATCAATTTACAATCACCACTTTGCAATCCTTGTACTATGCCCATGCAACTGAATATTTATTTTGCAACTTAACAGAGAATAATTTCATGTTTGTTTCTTCTACAAATTACTATTCTTAGAAAATCTTGTCTGAGTTCAAACATTACCTGGTATATTTCAATCTACGAATATTAGATTAATTAACACAGAAATTACCTCTATCAAAACAAACTTTGCGTAAAAATACTTGCCCTGCTTTTAATGTGAAGAGGTATATTATAACATACGAACATATAAGCGGTTAGGTCAAATGTGCAGGATGTTTGCTGTCTTCAACAAATATAATTTGTGGAATGTATTGCTTCTTGCACTCAAATTGACGATGAATTATACATTATGTGCACATGGTTCTTTAAATGTGATCATCAAATATGTCGCATAATAAATTCGATAAATAGATTTCTACAAGAAGACCAACCGTTTACCTTCATTCTTTTTTCAATGACAAAAGACCTGCATGTCTTAATATGAAAGCAAAGAGCAACAACGAAGGGCGGCCTGCAATGAACGCATCCCGCAACATAACACAACTCAAACCCGACCAGAACCCCGACAGGATACCAAACAAAATCAGAAGAGGGCACATGTGCAAAGCACGGACGGGGTGTAGTTATGAATAATACAAAATAGGAAATCATTTGAAACATTAAATAAACGAAGCAGATATATGACGTCATTTATATAATCTTATGGTTCTCGAACCTCTAAATCTTTATTAGTAAGCATATGTACAATGAAAGAAATCACTGAAAAATAAGTTTGATTTTTCTTTATACTTGACTGTGTAATCTTCAAACAAATTGCTATGATGAAAAAGCTTAATTTTCTAAGCTTAAATAAAGTGAATATAGACTGTACTATTGGATTGTTCACACTACATTGTGTTAATTTGATTAATCTGTAAAGAACGATTTTAAACACATATTGTTGCTTTTTAGCGATATGTTTTATTTCAATAATGGTAAAAAATGAATTAATGTTTTCACTGACAATCTTCGAAAAATATGATTTACAAATATAAGTCTCGCTCTAATACTTATTCTCTTTTCTTTTCACAAATAGACTTTGCAGAATTGTAACACTGATCGTCATTCCATTTATAATTGAAGTTTGCATAAAAATGCGCACAGTCTTCAGTTCCAGAGCCATTGTCTGGCTGTGACGATTGCCAATCTGTAAAAGATGCCCTGGAGTTGTCATCAACCCATTTAAAGACACCTTCTGTGTCAGTATCAGTGAGTCCGATCCAAAAACTCGTACCTGTGAATCAAATTTGAGGTGATTGTATTAAAAATTCAGATACATAAATTAACAAGATTGAAGATTTACATTTATTTATTCATGCAAAATTGAATTAAGATAACAAAGACCAGTAAATGAAAATAAGCAATTGTATGCATTGTGATTAAATAACTCAAACGGGATGGTATTTCCACATTTGCCGGTGTAACCATTTACTTGAATTTTCAATGTTTGTCAATCAGCTCAATTAAGTAGCTATATAAATTTGAGATTAATCTGGGATTAATTAAAGTGATCATGATTAAATAGTCCCTCGATTTCTGACATCGATTATGTCAAGCATCTTCAATGGTTTCATTTCATTGACTTGCTTTAGTATATTTACTTAGAAAAATCAAACCCGCCAAAAAATAGTTATTTAGATACATTGTCAGACCAGTTTCCTCTGTATTTCTCTTTTTTACAAAAAGGTCTCAAAAAAGGTTTATTGAATTTTATTCTGCTTAACAATGTCATTATTTGGATAGTAATGCTAAATGCCGTTATCTGCTTACCTTACATTGAAATTTTTAAAAGAATCAGACACCAAATGCAGTTATTTTTATCTATCTTAATCTATTTCAAATATTACAAAAACTTAAGAAGAACGTGAGAAGTATGATATAACAGACAATACCTGTAAATCTTCTCGTTATTATATGGAAAGTCTTTTTTTATGACTCGATGAATATTTCTACACTATTGATTAACTATATGTTTAGCGGGTCATGATTTATGAAAGACAAAAAATAATGTAAAAGTTTAAATGCAACTAACCTTTCATTGTTTTCAGATGGTTTCTAAGGAATGTGTTCTCGTCTGCATTTTCTATATGAACTAAATCTGCATGGAGTTTTTGGCAATTGGCCTGGAATTATAACAAGATTCATCTCATTTTAAAATGATGACCAGCTTTGAAAAAACTATGGTTAAATGAATATGGAATTTGTCAGATAGAAATTAATTCCGCTTTAATTTCATTTATTATAGCAAGTCTAAGTTTCAGAAACGGCATTAAAAGAAGTCATAAAATAACTTACTCGTGCTTTATCGAACGAAAGATTTAAATCAACAATTACGTAACACGACCCTTTGTAATAAATCCATCCATCTGGGCATGTTGTACATTCCTTTTCTCCTTTACATTTGAAAAAGAAAACAAATCTTGATTTGTCTTTGAAATTAACTGCATGTAAATGATAAGTTATATGTTTTTGAAATAGTTACATCATCATCTTATTAAATGGACACTGTACCTGTTGGTGTAACAAAAAATATAAATTTTACTATATTATTGTCTATAGGTAAATATTGAATTTCGATTAAACCGATGCATAAAGTGGACAGTTCTTTGCATTAACCATTGTCATGCATGGGCAGGTTTCATCAAATCGAAACATTTTCAGTTTTGCCGGTTTTGACGACCATAAAGGTTTCCACAATTTGCTATAATTACATTAATTCTTAAAGGAATTATCTTAATTTGTTGTTCAAATATTGAACAGCGTTCTGTACTGGACAATTACATGCAGATATCAACAATATTCATTTCAAAGCAGAGAGTAGTTATTAAATATTTCAAAACTTTTATTTTACTATTTCAAATGTGCTAAAATTGAAATCAATTGATAAAAAAACATGAAAATTGGCAGGTTTTGTTAAAATACTTTTTACATTTCGTCAAGCGTTTTCATATTGAGATCTTGTGTTTTGCTTAACCCGGTATTAGGAAGGTAAACGGTGTACCATTTAATTTTTTTTGATAATACGCAAGTTTAAGCAAAGCTGATAAGTATGTGTTAAAGTCTTTTTTTTAAATATTCTAAGTAAAATTCATTTTTTTAATATCTTAAAAAATATGGAAAATAAGAAATGAAAACTAGTGCAAACCCTGTATGTCATGTTGCGAGTTTATAAATTTATAAAGAAAGGGTTAGATTTAAAAAAACGCAGTAAAATAACTAAATCAATGATATGAAGAATAAATTCTCATTAACAACTAGAAACTAGAAAAAAATCGCTTCTTAGTCGCGTTGATAGTAATCGTAATTCTTATTAAACTAATTTACCCTTTTCACTGAGTCTTTCCTCCAGTAGTTCCATTCTGTGTTCCAGCCGGACTACCTTTGATAAAATTTGTTCCTCGTAGTGATATTTGGAACATTGCTGTGCTAAAACACAACAAACTAGGTACAACGAAAATACTAGTCCTAAAGCCCCTTTCATGTTTGTAAAGTAAACAGGTTATGTCTGGTGCAAAATCTTTTTATTGTTTAGATTGGACAATCGGCGTATTTATATCATAATATTAGGCCACGTGACATGCAGATGTACATTTTTAACGCTAAATAGTTATATTTACATCCGAACGACTCATTGATTCGATGATTGTTTTCTTAAGAGCTTGGGTGCTAATAGTGTTCAATATTGATTCAACAGTATACATTGTAATTTTAAAAATGAGGTTTTCTATAGTGATTAAATTTCTGTTGTTGTTGATATTGGCCGAATCATTTTAAAAATGAAAAGTATTATTGGATAAAATACATTATGTTAGGAATTAATCCTTTTTTGCTTAACTTCAATGATATTCTAATTGCACATGCTTTGACTCAATTTAGAATTTTATCATGATATACCGGTAAAATGAAGACATAATGTTCACTTCTTCGCCGTCAAGTAAATTATTGAAAATTAACTAAAGATTTAAAAGACTGTCCCACTTTTTAAGAATTGAGCGTTACCAAACATCATAAACGATACTTATAGAAAGTTCTGTTAGTTATTATTGGTAAAATACTTAATTGAACACAGTTATGGCAAGATGTCAAGTTATTATACCCCCGCACAACGGGGTATACTGGAATCAGCTTGTCCGTCCGGCCGTCCGGACGTCTCCCCGTCCGTCCGTCGGTTTTTCCTTGTCCGCCCAATAACTTGAGATTCCTTTGGCCCACAGTCTTCATATTTGGCATGGAGATTAGTCATGATTAGTAGATGACCCCTATTGATTTTGGGGTCACTGGATCAAAGGTCAAGGTCACAGGGCCTTGACTTTAAAAAGCTTGTCCGCCCAATAACTTGAGATTCCTTTGGCCCACAGTCTTCATATTTGGCATGGAGGTTAGTCATGATTAGTAGAAAAACCCTATTGATTTTGGGGTCACTGGGTCAAAGGTCAAGGTCACAGGGCCTTGACTTTTAAAAGCTTGTCCGCCAAATAACTTGAGATTCCTTTGGCCCACAGTCTTCATATTTGGCATGGAGGTTAGTCATGATTAGTAGATGACCCATATTGATTTTGGGGTCACTTGGTCAAAGATCAAGGTCACAGGGGCCTTGACTAAAAAAAAGCTTGTCCTCCAAAAAACTTGAGATTCCTTTGACCCACAGTTTTCATATTTGGCATGGATGTTAGTCATGATAAGTAGATGACCCCTATTGATTTGGGGTCACTGGTCAAAGTTCAAGGTCACAGGGTCCTTGACTTTAAAAGGCTTGTCAGCCCAATTATTTGAGATTCCTTTGGCCCACAGTCTTCATATTTGGCATGGAGGTTAGTCATGATTAGTAGATGACCCCTATTGATTTTGAGGCCACTGAGTAAAAGGTCAAGGTCACAGGAGTCTTGACTAAAAAAAGCTTGTCCGCAAAATAACTTGAGATTCCTTTGACCCACAGTCTTCATATTTGGCATGGAGGTTAGTCATGATTAGTAGATGACCCATATTGATATGGGGTCACTGGTCAAAGTTCAAGGTCACAGGGTCCTTGACTTTAAAAGCTTGTCAGCCCAATTATTTGAGATTCCTTTGGCCCACAGTCTTCATATTTGACATGGAGGTTAGTCATGATTAGTAGATGACCCCTATTGATTTTGAGGTCACTGAGTAAAAGGTCAAGGTCACAGGAGTCTTGACTAAAAAAGCTTGTCTGCAAAATAACTTGAGATTCCTTTGACCCACAGTCTTCATATTTGGCATGGAGGTTAGTCATGATTAGTAGATGACCCATATTGATTTTGAGGTCACTGGATCAAAGGTCTAGGTCACAGGGGCCTTGACTAAAAAAAAGCTTGTCCGCCCAATAACTTGAGATTCCTTTGGTCCACAGTCTTCATATTTGACATGAAGGCTAGTCATGATTAGTAGATGACCCGTATTGTTTTTGAGGTCACTGGGTCAAAGTTCAAGGTTACAGGAGCCTTGACTTAAAAACCTTGTCCGCCCAATAATTTGAGATTCCTTTGCCCAACAGTCTTCATATTTGGCATGGAGGTTAGTCATGATTAGTAAATGACCCCTATTGTTTTTGAGGTCACTGGGTCAAAGTTCAAGGTCACAGGGGCCTTGACTTAAAAAGCTTGTCTGCCCAATAACTTGAGATGGGTGGTTGTTCTTGAGTTCTAAATGGCCACTGTCTGACAAAGTGGTATGCGGGGGTATTCACGCCATGAGAGTGGCAGTTTTAGTTTATTACACCTTTTCACTGACCATTCACTCTTCGATGAGCATAATGTCACATTAATATATCGTCATCGTAGTGTAGTAAGGGATTAACTCCTTATATGATGTTAATGTGGCACATAATTATAAAATAAAAATCATAAAATCATAACGACATTCTCTCGTGCTTTGACCCTTTAAAACACAAAGCTCCTGAAAATATTCACTGATAAAATTCAATAATACTTTTGTTTTAGATATAAAGTAATAGATATGTAAATGACAAAATTTAAAAAGGCACCTAAAACTTTATATATATATATATATATATTTATTGAACTTCATCATATTCTAAACACAAATGCAAAGTTTACCATCTTGTTTGAACCGACGCCTGACCTATCTGAAAAAGAATACTCTTCACAAGAGGTATTACATTTGGTGAGGAATTCTTTAAAATGGCCAATTATTTTACAGCTTATTTTAATATTCAGTAACCACATTGGCCAAATTTATCAAAAAAGAACACACGTTAAGATTTTCTATCAAGTGTATAATATTCATTCATTTTATACAGACTTGGGGGCAAATTTAAGATTTTTTAAAATTAAATATATATGTTTCCGTATTTGATCAACCAAAAATTGATATGTTGAGGTTATAGTTTACTTATCATATTAAATGGTGGTGTACAATCTCTAATTATAAAATTACAATTACACATTTTAGACAGCAATCCCATTTAAAAAAACAATTAAGGATGAACGCTATTAAAACATAATTTCAATATTCAGTATTTTGTAATATCAACAAACTTTTTGTTAATAAATGAATACACCGGTTATTTCCCGCCCTCCTAAGCAGACATATTTTACCGATGTAAATTTTGTCTAATTTCATGACATACTTTACAACTGCTATATATAAAGAAGATTATTGAAACTTGAAACAAGTAAGAAAATGCGCAGATCAAATTACGTTTAGTATCTCTAAAATAAATTCCAGAAGATAAGGATTCACAAAACATAACGTAGCAATAGTATCATAGAGAAAAGCAAAATAATTTAACCATTCTCTCAATGTTGGCAAGTACGTATGTACAAAATTATACGACCATATTTTATTTTAACCAAAATGATGTGGCTAAAAGTATTGTATCATTCCCTCTTGATGATATTATTTCTTCTCCAGATTTAAGAAATAAACGCATCTACTAATATTTCATATTAAGTAACCATACTTAATCCTGAATTAAGTTATTGGATTACTGTTTTTCTCTTTCATGATCACCTTAACAAATGTACGAGTTTTGAAAAAAAATCCATCATAGCATTATTGCATATACATGTATAACGACATTGCTAAAACATGTTTTACACCAAATGAAAAGGGAAGGGGGAAGTTATTGTGCTCTGATAAAGTCAACAATCCAAAGACTTACAATCAGTCTTTACATTTACCAAATGTTATCATTTTACTTAATCAAAACCGTTTACATATTTAAAAAATGATATATATTTTAGGGTATTTAACTCATGTAGGACAATCAAGACAATGAAGGAAGCATTTATAAAAATGTTTATGCCGACAAATAAAGAAATTAATGATTATTTTTGTTTACGTGGACTTTACAACATTTTGTTCATATCACGTTGATAGGTCCACTGTAATGACTAACCAGGATTATTAATTATTACCAATTTCTCATCGGGTTCGATCTGCGTGACTAAATTTATCTGTTATTGACCGCTCTTTTACCGCTTTGCCAATAACTGTTAAAAGGGCTGATCCCTCGGAGGGAATGTAAACAAGTGTATAACATTGTATATGAAAATTGCAGACTTGGCTTGGTTGATTCTATTCATATGATGTAATGTAAAAGTGAAAAACTATCCTGACATCCCTTGTTTTATCCATTCTCTTGCATTGTTGGGGAATGCGTCCATTCATACTTAGTTCCCAAAAAGAAACTATTTTTTAATGTTAACTGTTGCATTTTCCGCAAAACTGCAGAGTGTAAATAGGAAATTAAGGAACGAAAAAATCATTTTATCAATGTCAGATATTTCGGTTATTTCTCTTTAAATTATATTGAAAAGTTGTTAAGCCTTCAGTATTCTTTCCAAAAAAGGACATTACATGTATACGAAAAGACAAGCTAGAAATGTTCCTTTTAAAAATACTGCATATTCTTGGCAAATATAAGGAATGTTTTGTTGCCGTTGTTGTTGTTTTTTCAGTGTATCAAGCTCTTTTGAAAAAGCTTAGTTTAATTCGACCTCTCTCAATTTACTTTGCAGACACTTTGTTGATCGATTTTTATGATTACTTAATTTTCTTTCTTTTATTTATCTGATATCAACCTATAATTGTGCTTCCTCTTTTAGGGGAGGCCGATCGCTAATGTTGAAAGAACTTGGGCTGAACCCTTGTGTTATTTATTATTTCGAAAACCTGTTGTTTCGGTGCATAAGAACATGCATATATTAGCAATAAAATATGAGTATAATAACAAATGTAGTTTATACCACGGCATAAAGCAATCATAAATTATATATTTAACTATATAAACAAAATAAGTCGATTAGATGATAGTTTATTAACACGTTTGATAATTTAATTATAACATTGTGAACACTACAAAATATGAAGTAACAGACATGCTAACCAGGTAGAAGGAGAATATCGTGCCTCTTAAATATCAACATACTAGAATATGCTAGAAAACCACTTTAAAGTACCTCGTTTACGGATGGAGTTCTCTAAAATAACATCTTATACTTTACTTCCGTAGCTAAAATAAAGTTTAACGAGAT